CAACTTCAACTAGTTTTTTTTGTTTTGATCGGATGGCTGGATGCTTTATTTACAATTGTCCTCTTAAATTATGGCCGATGGCCAGCTAAAAACAAAAAAACAGCAACCTGTTGGTTATTTGTTCTGGATGGAATGGTATCGAAGGGGAGCTATTATTTATTGACATCTTTAAAAAGTGGAGGTTTTAAGAATAGTTTTTTTTTCGACTATTGGATGTTTGCTGAATATTTTTTCAAGGCTTGAGAAACTATTTTTTAAGAATATTTTTGTCTCAAGGACCAGCCAATTAAAACCAAAACCCCTAATGACCGAAAAACTGCAAAAGATTAATGTTAATGGTTGTTTGTGAGTGTGTGTGTGCAAATAATGAATCATCTGGACCACTTAAATATTGTTTCCATTTGCTTATAATAACTGTGAAATATCCTCCAAAATTCCAGAGAAAAAAATTTAAAAATCGTTTGTTTTGAAAATTGGTTTTTATGCCAATTTAAAAATTGTTTCAAAAAGAGAACTTCGAAAATTATATTTCAGCAAAAAGGGATGTGCAATAAATTTTGATGTGCTTTTAAAAATTCCATCAACAAACCAAAAAAAAAAAACATACTTCAACTTTACGATCCTTCAGAGGTGTGTTGATCTCCCCCCAAAAATAAAAGAAACAAATCTAAAGTCACACCAAATAACATCAGCCCAGATCAGATCATCAATTGTCATTCGAATCACCCGAATCGCCATCTCATCACCATTATTTCCCAATCTTTAGCCATCTGAAGAAGAAGAAGATGATCTTTATTTTTTTATCACTTGCAAACCGAAAAGCGAAGAATTCTCCAGCAAAAATCGATAATAATCAAGCGGAAAGAAATATGTGGAATTTTTTAAGGCGATTGTTCGCTCTTTTTTCTTCATCCTCATCTTCTTTGGGTATGTGTGAATGTTGATGATACCTGCCTGGATGGTTGACTGACTGCCTGGCTGGCTGGCTGGTTGACGGTCAATCCTTCTTGTTCAGGTTGTTGTTATTCGCAATGCGTTTGGGCTTTGTTATAATTTACCAATTCAAATGGGCCAGGAACAACAAGAAAAACAACAACTGACAAACATAAGGAGGACAAAAAAAAAACAATGGGGTATAAAAAATGGTGGATCACACCGACTAAGAGATAGGCTTCTTAAAAAATATTTTTATGGTCTAAGAATAGGCGTGAATTTTGAAAAAATATTTTTAAGGGCTTCTTTTTTGAGACTAACCATAGGCGTGGATTTTTTAGAAATTCTTTTCTGTGTCCCAGCATAACCCTGGACATACTTTTCTGAGTCCCAACTTAAGCCGGTTTTTTTTTTAAAAAATACTTTTCTAAGTCCCAACTTAAGCCGGATTTTTTTTTTTTTTAAATACTTTTCTGAGTCCCAACTTAACCCGGGATTTTTGGGTGGGGAGATTTTGTAACCCTACAGACGCCCAACTACCAATTCACAGCTGAATCGGATAAAAGATCTGGCAGAATCGACAAAAATTATTCAAATCGAAGGGCAACTCTAAGGGGAATTATGCCCAAATTTGGTACTATCTTCACAATTTTTTTTTAGAAAGATGTTGTACCCCTGCAAACTCACAACTGCCAAGTTACAACTAAATCGGTTGGAAAATCCGACAGAAATTGCCAAAATTCTTCAAATCGGGTGGCAACTTTAAAGGGAGCTATGCCCAATGTTGATCCTATCTTCACAATTTTTTGTGGAGAGATCTTGTATCCCTGTAGAATCCCAAATGCCAAATTACAGCAAAATCGATTGGATAATCTGGCTAAAAACTTCAAAATTCCTCAGTTCGGAAGGCCGGGGGGGCGGAAACCATACCCAAACCTGAACAATTTCTCAAAAAATTTTGTAGGAAGATGTTGCAGCCCTACAGACTCCCAACTACCAAATTAGACCTAAATCGATTAAAAAAATTCCGCTAAAAACTTCAGAATTCCTCAGTTCGGAAAGCACCTCTAAAGGGAGTTATGTGCAAACATGGTCCTATCTTCAACATTTTTTGTAGGAAGATGTTGTACCCCAATAGATCCCTAACTGTCAAATTATTGCTAAATCGGTTGGAACATTCGGCCGAAAATCTCAATTTTTCTCAGACACCTCTAAAAGGAATAATTCCCAATTTTATACCGATCTTCACATTTTTTTGTGGAAATGTGGTGTGTCCCTTAAAAAATCCCGAAATGGCAAATTACAGCAAAATCGATTGGAAAATCTGGCTCAAAACTTAAAAATTCCTAAGTTCGGAAGGCACCTTCAAGGTGAACCATACCCAAACCTGAACTATTCCTCACACATTTTTTGTAGGGAGATTTGTGTATCCTTACAGAATCCTAACAGTAAATTTTCAGTTGAATCAGTTGGAAAAATCTGGCAGAAATCGTCAAAAATCTTCAGATCGGATGGCACCTATAATGGGAGATATGCTCAAACTTGGACATATGTTCAAAATTTTTTGTGTGCAGATGCTGTAGCCCTACAGACTCCCAACTGACAAGTTACATCTAAATCGTTTGGAAAATTCGGCAGCATATTTCAATTTTCTTCAGTTCGAAAGGCACCTCTAAGGAGAATTATGCTCAAACTTGGACCTATCTTCACAATTTTGTGTGGGACGATGTTGTACACCTACAGTATCCGAACTGCAAAATTAGAGCAAAATCAGTTGGAAAATCTGATAGAAATCGCCAAAAATCTTCAAATCGGATGGCACCTATAAAGGGAGCTATGATTAAACGTGGTCCTATGTTCAAAATTTTTTGTAGAAAGGTTTTTTACCCCTTCAGAATCCCAAAATAAAAAATTACAGAAAAATCGGTTAGAAAATCTGGCAAAAGAACTTCAAAATTCCTCAGTTCGGAAGGCACCTCCAACGGGAACCATAACCAAACCTGAACTATTCGTCACACATTTTTGGTAGGGAGATTTTTTTATCCCTACGGAATCCTAACAGTCAATTTTCAGTTGAATCAGTTGGAAAAATCTGGCAGAAATCGTCAAAAGTCTTCAAATCGGATGGAACCTATAAAGGGAGCTATACCCAAACCTGGACCATTTTTCACAACTTTTTGTAAGAAGACGTTGTAACCCTACAGAATCCCAAATGCCAATTTACAGCTAAATCGATTGGAAAATCTGGCAGAAATCGACAAAATTCTCCACTTCGGATGACTTCTATAAAGGGAACCACACCCAAACCTGAACCATTCTTTACAATTTTTTAAAGAAAGGATTTGTATCTTCGGAGAATCTCAATTGCCAAGGTATAACGGAATCGCTTGGAAAATATAGCAGAAATCGCCAAAATTCTTTAAATCGGATGGTACCTATAAAGGGAACCATACCCAAACCTGAACAATTCTTCAATTTTTTTTTTTTTTTTTTTTTTTTTTGGAAGCTGTTGTACCCCTACAGAATCCCAAATGCCAAATTACAGCTAAATCGGTTGGAAAATCTGACAGAAATCGTCAAAAATCTTGAAATCGGGAGGCACCTTTTAAGGTAGCCATGCCTAAACATAGACCTATCTTCACAATTTTTTGTAGAAAGGTGTTAAACCTCTACAGACTCCCTAGTACCAAATTACAGCTAAATCGATTGGAAAATCTGACAGAAATCGCCAAAAGTCTTCAAATCGGATAGCACCTCTAAAGGGAGTTATGCCTAATTTTGAACCAATTTTCACAATTTTTTGTAGGAAGTTTTTGTGTCCCTACAAAACCCTAACTATCAAATTACAGCTAAATCGCTTAGAAAATCTGGCAGAAATCGTCCAAAAATCTTCCAACCGGGTGGCACCTATATAGGGAGCTATTCCAAATCTTGGACCTATCTTTCCAAGTTTTTGTAGGAAGGTGTTGTATCCCTACATAATCCTTACTACCAAATTACAGCTAAATCGTTTGAAAAATGTGGCAGAAATCGTCAAATTTTTTCAAATCGGGTGGCAACTCTAAAGAGAGGTATGTCCAAAATTGGTCCTATCTTTACAATTTTTTTGTGGGAAGACCTTATACCCCCATAGACTCCCAAACGCCATGTTACAGCTAAATCGATTGGAAATTCTGGGAGAAATCGTTAAATTTCCTCAGTTCGGAAGGCACCTCTAAAGGGAACCATACACAAAACCCGCACAAATATATCCTTTGCCTCATGTTGGAATGCATTCCTCCATTGCATTTTATATTTTATTGATCACTCGACAACAACAAAATATGTCTTCCAAAGACATCGACTGGTATTGACTGGCTGGTTGCTCTGCTCTGTTCTTCTTGTTTTTCGTGGGCCTACAACAAATCCACAGCAATAAAAAAAACAATAACAACAACAACAGCTATTTTTATGATTCAATATCGCCTGTGAATGTTATCCTTCGTTTAAATCTTGCCATAAATTTTAACTTTACAAACATTTGCAAAACAAAAACTGGATATTTCTGTCCAGGGGATGCTGGAACCAATGGAATGTTTCAAGTTCTTGTTTGTTGGTGTTGTTGGGCAACTTTTGATAATGATTATTGAACGCGAATGTTCATTTTGCTCTGGACCCATCGTTTTTCTGTTCTTTATTTTTTTTTTTTTCTTTTCGATTTGTATTTGTAATTCTTGTAATGACAACTTGCCGGGGTTCTCTTTTTTTCAATTTGATTTATGGTCAAGGTTTGAATTCGAATTTTTTTGTATTTGGATTTCTTCCTTTCATAAAAATGGACAGATGTTCAAAAATTGTAACAACAATAATTTAATGGATTCCTTCTTTTTTTGCTTTTTCTTTGCAGTTCAATGTAATTGGAATCTAAAAGAGGACTCAACCAACAACAACAACAACATAAACATTACACATTTTATGCAACAAAACGAAAAAGAAGAAGAAGAAGCAGAAAAAGCAGCAGAGACACAAAAGTGACAAGCACAATGTTGCCGACAAAAACATTTCACAAAAGCACCTGCTTGTCAATAATGCAAAGGTTGATGCCAACATCTGATGCAGCCTCAGTTTCAACAACATCTTCGTCTGATTCATCATCCTGCCCGCGACGCCACTCTCCATCATCACAATCATCCTGCATTTCGTCCGCTACCACCTCACCAATATCTGTCATCGTTAAATCTGTGATTTTCTTAGTGGTTTTTGTGAGCACACTCTGTCATGCCCAGCTCGGTGTCCATGTGGTACGTTCACCCGAATCGGCTGTCGCACCCAAGGGCGATGAAGTCGTTTTTGAGTGTGAAATGAATTTAACACCCGATCGTTTCAAATGGAAATTTCGACATTCGAGTAATCGCACAGCGGATGGCAGTGGTTATAGGGATTTGACACAGGAGGTAAGTTGAAACAAAAATCGCAAACATAACCTAAATTAGAATCGGTAAGGGGACCCAAAATAAAAAAAAATTTATATATGTTCGTTCCAATGAAGGAAGTTGACCACGCATTGAAAGCCTCGTACAGCAAATTTAAGCAAAATCGGTTGGAAAATCTGGGAGAAATCTCCCAATATTCTTCAAATCGGGTCCAACCTATAAAGGAAGCTATAGCCAATCTTTAAGTTATCTTCACAATTTTTTGCATGAAGGTTGTCCACCCACAGAGAACCCAAGGCCACAAGTTACAGCAAAATCGGCTGGAAAATCTGAGAGAAGTCTATCAATGTTCCTCTAATCGGGTACCATTTCTAAAGGAAGCCATAGACAATTTTCAACATATCTTCATTATTTTTTGCACGATGGTTTCCTACGCTAAAGGGAATAATAGCCAATTTTCAACATATCTTCATTATTTTTTGCACGATGGTTTCCCACCCACAGAGAACCCTAGGAGCCAAGTTACAGTTAAATCGGTTGGAAAATTCTACAAAAATCCTGTAAAATTCTTCAAATCGGGTACTACCTCGAAAGGGAGCTATAGCCAATTTTCAACTTATCTTCACAATTTTTTTGTATAATGGTTGACCACCCAACGAGAACCCCAGGTGCCAATTTACAGCAAAATCGTTCAGAAAATTCTACAAAAATCCAGCAAAATTCTTCAAATCGAATAGCACCTCTAAAGGTAGCTATGACCAAACATGCACCTATTTTCACAATTTTTTGCATGAAGGTTGCCTACCCACCGAGAAACCCCAGATGACAAGTTACAGCAAAATCGGCTGGAAAATCTGAGAGAAATCTCCCAAAATTCCCCAAATCGGGTAGCATCTCTAAAGAGAGCTATAGCCAATTCCCAAAGTATCTATCCAATTTTTTGTATAATGGTTTTCCACCCATAGAGAACCCCAGGTGCCAAATTTCAGCAAAATCGGCTGGAAAATCTGAGAGAATTCTCCCAAAATTCCTTAAATCGGGTCCAACCTCTAAAGGGAGCTATGATCAAACATACATCTATCTTCACAATTTTTTGTATAATGATTGTCCACTCACCGAGAACCCCATGTGTCAAGTTTCTGCTAAATCGCTTAGAAAATTCAACAGAAATCGTGCAAAATCCTTCAAATCGGGTAGCACCTCTAAAGGGAGCTATAGCAAATTTTCAACATAACCTCACAATTTTTTGCATGAAGGTTGTCTACCCACCGAGAACCCCGAGTGCCAATTTACAGCAAAATCGGCTGGAAAATCTAAGAGAAATCTCCCAAAATTCCTCAAATCGGATCAACTTATCTTTACAATTGTTAGCATGAAGGTTGTCTACCCACTGGTGCCAAGTTTCAGCTAAATCGCTTAGAAAATTCGACAAAAATCTCCCAAAATTTCTCAAATCGGATAGGACCTCTAAAGGTAGCAATGCCCAAATGTTGACCAATATTGGCAATTTTTTGTATGGAGATTTTGGTACCCATAGAGAACCCCAACATCCACGTTACAGTTAATTCGGTCTATTACAAATCACAAAAATTCCTCAAATCGGGCGGCTCTTCTAAAGGAAGCTATGCCCAAAAGTGGACCAATATTGATAATTTTTGGTAGAGAGATTGGGCACCCATACATCTACCTAGCTACAATTAAATCGGTTAGGAAAATCGGATAGAAATCGTAAAAATTCTTAAAATCGGCCGGGGCCTCTTAAGGGTGTCATGCCCAAACATGGACCATTCTTCACAATTTTTTCTAGGGAGTTTTGACACATATAGAGAACCCTAACTTCTATGTTACAGTTAATTTGGTCGACAAAATCTGTTAGAAATCATCAAATTCTACAAATCTATCGACACCTCTACCATTAAAGGAAACTACAACAAATTTGAATCGATATTCCCAATTTTTTCTAGAGTGATTGTAGACCATCATAGACTACAAATTGCATAGTTACAGCTTAATCGGTTGGAAAATCTGCTTAAAAACATAACCTCAAAATATTTCTGTGAACATAACCTCAAAAAAATTGTTTTCTCTCTTTACAGAATGGTTACAACATAACCCATCAAGATCGCATCTCCAAATTACGCATAGTTGTACAAACCGATTCGTTGGGTGATTATCAATGTGTTGCCTCATATGGTTCGGCAGCTATAGCTTCACTGCCGGCCCGTCTCACCCTGGTGTCCATTTCCATTGACAATTCCAATGGTTATACACGTAACACCATACGCTATAATGTGGCACCGAAAAATTGCATTCTCTTACGATGCGGAACCGTCACATCAAATCCGGCTGCAATTTGGTCTTTCTTTCGTAATGGTGAAAAAATTCCACAATCCGATTTGATACCAGCCAATGGAGCATTGGTCTTGAATACGGTCAGCACTAAAGATTCGGGTAACTATTCGTGTAGTGCCATGAATCCGATTACCAGCCAGGAGGTAAAGCTGCCTCAACGCATTGAATTGTTGGTTAGCTATAGCGATCGTACCGCGCCACATTTTCTTAAGGAGCCACCCAATCAAGTGACAGCCAGGCCGGGAGATACTGTGGTCTTGGAATGTCCAGGTGTGGGTTCCCCCGCACCCATAGCTGTTTGGAGTTCACCGAATATTGTTAATATCAACAACAATAATCGTACACGAATTGTACCCTATGGGCTGCAAATAGTGGATGTTGTACCGGAGGATCAGGGCCCGTATGTGTGCCGTTTAGATAATGGCATTGCACCGGCCTTGGTGCATTTGATTAAATTGACTGTCCTTGAGAAGCCTTCAATTTTGCGGGGCCCCGCCAGCACTTTAACTAATGAAAGTGATACCCTGGAATTGGAATGTTCGGCAGCGGGTTATCCATATCCGGATATATATTGGCTTATCAATGGTCAGGATACTTCAATGGATCCGGAAGTTCAACATGATGGTAGACGTTTGGTTATACAACATGTTCAGAAGCGCCATGCGGGAATTGTGCAGTGTTTTGCCAAAAATGAAGTTGGAGAGGTAAGTTTTTTTACTCGGAAGGGTGGGAGGGAATGTCCTCTTTTGTGGTCAAGATTAAAATTTATTTTTACATTTTTATTTGTGGTCATTTCGTTTCAGACCAGTGATGCAAATCTTCTGAAAGTTAACCCCAAACAAATCCATGGCTCTTCGGGTTCAGCGGGAGCGGCCACACCACGTCCTCGTTATGAAGAAGTTAGTGGTGGTGGCGGTGGAGGCTCTAAGAAAGGCTCGCGCAAGAAGCATAAACGTAAGTACAATAAAAATTTATAGCTACATCGGTTGGAAATTTTGAAAGAAATCTACCAAAAATTCCTCAAATCGGGTATCACCTCTAAAGGGAGCTATACCCAATCGTGAAGTTATCTGCACAATTTTTTGCATGATCATTGTGTGCCCACTGAGAACCCCAGGTATTAAGTTGCAGCCAAATCGTTTGGAAAATTCGACAGAAATCTCTCAAAAATCCTTAAATCGGATACCACTTCTAAAGGGGTTATGATCAAACATGCACATATCTTCACAATTTTTTGTATGAAGGTTTTCTACCCACAGAGAAAGCCAGGTGCGAAGTTATATCAAAATCGGCCTGAAAATCTGAGAGAATTCTCCCAAAATTCCTCAATTCGGGTCCAACCTCTAAAGGAAGTTATGATCAAACCTGCACCTATCTTCACAATTTTTTGTATAATGGTTGTCCACATACAGAGAACCCCAGGTGCCAAGTTTCACCTAAATCGCTTAGAAAATTCGAGAGAAATCCTATATAATTCCTCTAATCTGGTACCACCACAAAAGGGAGCTATAGCCAATTTTCAACTTATCTACACTATTTTTTGCATGATGGTTTCCTACACACAGAGAACCCCAGGAGCCAAGTTTCAGCTAAATCGTTTAGAAAATTCGGCAGAAATCTCTCGAAATTCCTTCAATTGGGCCGCACCTCTAAAGGGAGCTAAAGCCAATTTTCAACTTATCTACACTATTTTTTGCATGATGGTTTCCTACCAACAGAGAGCCCCAGGAGCCAAGTTTCAGCTAAATCGTTTAGAAAAATCGACAGAAAATATGCAAAATTCCTTAAATCGGGTACCACCTCTAAAGGGAGCTATGATCAAACATGCACATATCTTCACAATTTTTTACATGAAGGTTTTCTACCCACCGATTAACCCAGGTACCAAGTTACAGCTTAATCGATTGGAAAATCTGACAGAAATCTCGCAAAATTCCTCAAATCGGGCGGAACTTCTAAGGAGAGTTATACCCAAATGTTGAAGAATATTGAAAATTTTTCGTAGGGAGATTTGGCGCCCATAGAGAACCCCAACTACCAAGTTACAGCAGAATGGGTTGACAAATTTGTGAAAATCTCCCAAAATCCCTCAAATCGATCGGCACCTCTAAAGGGAGCTATACCCAAATTTTGAACAATATTGACATTTTTTTGAGGAACCATATATTCTGAGTCTACCCATATTCAAGATCAACTGCCAAGCCGCAGCAAATTCGGTTCAATATTTGTCTAAAAAATTTAAATTTTCCCCAAATATTAGGTCGATTTATTTGAGGTTAGGTCTCTATTTTCCATTTCTTCTCCTTACTGGAGGCATTAACCCAAAGAAAGTGTATATATATTCTGAGTCTATACCCATACTGAATCTGAAAATCAAAATCGTTTCCATATATGTCTAAAATATTTAAAATTTCCCCCAGTAACTAGGTCTATTTATTTGAGGTTAGGACTCTGTTTTCCATTTCTTCTCCTTACTGTAGGCATTAACCCAAAGGTGTGTACTTGTTGCTCATATTCCTTTATTTTTTCTTTCCAAAGGTTTTTGTTTTGTTCAGAGTATATTCTTTCCAAAATATATATTCTCTATCGGTATTGTGATACCAGCTTGATTTTATTTTTAAACATGATTGTTTTTAAATTAATATTCTTTTTACAATTTCTTTCAAATATTCCAAAAAAGTTCATTAGAGATTTTCCATTAAAATATAATTAAAAAAACATACGTTTATACTTCATGGGCATGGAAGAGAGAGATAGGCTTGGTTTTCTGTTTTCTTTTTCCGCATGTGTTTGAAAACTTAAAAAAACAAATCTTATAACTTAAAAATATATTTTTTAAATGTAACTATTTGTAAAACAATTCTTATCTTTCTTTCTTAATACATTTACATTACAATTTGTGATTATTATCGCTGACACCCTCCCCCTTGGGGAAAGGAAAGCTGCCGATAATAAAACTAACTTAACTATCTAAGGGTGAGCCAACATCTTTGCGTAAATGCTTTTCCTCTTCCTGGAGTATACGTATTTTCACTTTTAATTCTTCCACCTGCAGTCGATGTACTTCTCGCAAATGTTTCAACTGTTCCTGGGCATGGGTAAGCTCGATTTTTTTACGTTCCAAAGCAACCTGTTGCTCTTTGTAACGTAGCTCGGCTTCTTTCATGCGGAAATAACTGATTTTCTCCTCAAAGGCATCGTTGTTAGTGGGAGGTGTTGTTGTGGTGGTGGTGGCGGCGGTGTTGATGTTAATGTGATTGGCTGCATGTTGTTGTGCGGTGGCGGCGGCGTTCGCTGCAGCCATAACATTTGTGGCATTATTGGGAGCAATGGTAACAGTTGAAACGGCGCCAGGATTAATAATGGGTCCGGCAGCACTAACATTTGTTAAATTGGCTGTGGCATTGGTATTGAAGGCAGCTAAATTGGTGTTGGCCACCACATTGGCTAAATTTTGACCAGCAGCTGCTGCAGCCGCTCCTGTGGGTAAGGCACTAAATGTGGTACATGTAAAGGTGGGTGTGGCGGTGGCAAATTGTGTACTAACGGTGGGCGTGGTCCGCAATTCCATTTTAACTTGTTGCTGCTGCTGTTGATGTTGTTGTTGGGCCTGTTGCTGAGCCTGCTGTTGGGCTTGCTGTTGCTGCGCCTGCTGTTGCGCAGCCTGTTGTTGTTGTACCGCTGCTGCCACTGCGGCAGCTTGTTGTTGCTGCTGCTGTTGTTGTTGCTGTTGCAGCACAGCCAATTGTGCCTGTTGGGCCAATTGATGCTGCTGCTGGGCCGCCAATTGTTGCTGCTGCAGCTGTTGTTGAGCCTGATATTGAGCCAAGGTGATTTGTTGTGGTTTAATTTCGCTGATTATCTGCTGATTATAGCCATTTGTTGTGATGGTGGCCATTGTATGCTGTGGTGCCTGATGGTGGGGTATTGTAATGCGTGTCGGTGAGGGTATGGTAATTTGAGCTGCTCCTATAAATTGAAAAAGAAAAATTATTAAAATATGTTTCTATTTGAATCGGTTTGCCCTACTTACCCGTATTATCTGCCGGATGTTTTATTTGCAATATAATCTCCTCCCTTGGCCGGGCCGTCTTAAATTGCAACAAATCATTTAAGGTTAACTTTTCCGCCGAGATCTGATCCACACTTATTTGTTGGGTATGTATTGTGGCGGCGGCTGCGGCTGCCGCTTGTTGTTGTGCTGCCGCAACTTGTTGTTGTAAATCTTGTTGTTGCTGTTGTTGATCAGTATCCAAGGGATCCTCGTCCAATTCGGATACATTATTTGCCTCCATTTCCATTTCTTCAAAGGATTCGTTGTGTTCATTATTTTCCGAATTTTCACTATTGTGTATATTGAAATCGGGTTCATCCTTAATAACATGATTGTTTAGATGCTGCTGCTGTTGATGTTGTTGTGAATGTTCGGAATTTTGTTGATGTTGCTGCTGCTGATGTTGATTATTGGCATTTAGTTTTTGTCCAGCCGCTCGAAAGGGATATTGTTTGCGTAATCTGTAATTGGGGATAGAAAGGAGGATAAATAGGATTGACAATTTTTATATTATAAAGAAATAAAAATATATGATCTGCCAACTTAAAACCTTTTAAGTTTGTATCTAAAGGCAGCTTTGGAAAAATTTCTGCAATTGTGCCAGTACTGAATTTATTTATTCCGTTCAATAATTCAGAGCCTTTAAGTCAGAGAGGGCACTTTGCTTATTCTTGTATGAAACCCCCCATTACTATTCACTTTGTCTGAGCATGCTTGTCACATTTCTTTGCTTGCCTTGTCCTTCATAGTCCCTGGGCTTGCGCGTAGTTATAATTTTCTTGCTTTAGCCACTAAAGTTTAGTGTGTGCACAATTTAAAAATTATATATAAATTTTAATTATTTTTTGTATTATTTTGCGCTTAATATCAAATAATTCCAATTAATTTATTTTTCTATTAAATTAATTTCATTTTATTTCCCGCCTTCTTTTGAGCAAGTGTCATTTGTTGTAAATCAAATCAGCTGTTTACTCTCTGACGAGTCTCTCTCATGTTGCCTATCCTTATCTATTACTTTTTCCCTACTGATTCGCCTAATTCAGTTCTTTATTTACAATTGCACTTAGTTTGCTTTACCATAGTTTTTTTTTCTTTATTATTTTTCACTTTATATCAAATAAATTTAATTATTTTCCCATTAAATTCATTTTATTTCCCGCTTCTGCCACCTGTTGTTTTAAAATGTCATTTTGTTATGTATCTCTTCTCCTTATTTTGGCACTACCTTTTCTACCTGTGTTTCAACTAATTCACATTTTATTTTACTTCATTTATACACAACAATTAAATTATATATATTTTATATTTATTTTCCATTTAATATAAAACTATTTTATTTAGTTTTTCCTATTAAACTCTTTTCAATTAATTTCCCGCCGCAGGCCACTGCCTGTTGATCATAAATGTCAAAACAGCTGTTAAGTCACATCTGGCAACACAAAATGTTTGGCTCACTCACTGAACATACACAACAGTCACTGAACATACTCAATTTGCTTGTTCTTTTCGCAGAGGGCGCTCGCTCTATTGATTTAGCTCTACCTCACTCTCGCACACTCCTCCCTTTGCAGTGTTGTTGTTACTGTTTATACTCCATTTTGCCTAAAGAGTCTCACTCACAACTGTACTCGTTCTGTCGTTTTGTAGGTAGAAAGAAATAAGCAATAACAACAACAACACTATCGTTTAACAATGAGACGAAAATGGAAACAATAACACATATACACACACTCATCTATTTGCCACTAGGTCAGAGATGGACAAGTTAGTACATGTCAAGAGTGTTTAGTAGAGAATAAAATAAAAAATAAGAAAAACAAAACATAGGATATCATGATTTTTCATGAAAAGTAATAAAGAAATGCCACTTAAATAATGTATCGGGAATATAATTAGAAGAAAATTATAGTTGCAAGCAAAAAAATGTTGGAATCTTTTTTTAACATACAAATTTCCATCTCTGTACATTAGAGCAGCTGTATATTTCTGTGTGACAGTCCGACGGCAGGAAAGAAACCCCAATTATTTCTTATAAATAAAAAAACATACTGAAAGATGATTGTGTATATGAAAATAAAATTACAAGTGGAAGAAAATCACAGTAATTTCTAAAGAAAGAAAACAATAATAAATAACTATTATTAACATCATGATGAGTGGTGGTGCTGATGGTAGGGTAGGCAAACCATTTTCATTGTTGTGAGTAATAATTTGAGGTTTGTTGTGAGTAGTTTCCTTTAGAATTTTTTTCTTCTATTTTATGTACGATTGGTCGGACTAGGAGAAAATCTATGGCATAGGCAAGCTTTTGTTGTGAGTAATTTTTGTTGTTGCTGGCTGAGTTTTGTTTTTGTTTGAAATTACTAGCACAGAAAAAACAAATGGTAAGGAAGTGGTGGCAACAAAAAAAAATTGTGGGGGATATAATGATGGGTGGCATACAACATATTTTGCATATCAATGAATTGCTGGGGCATAGAACATCATCACACACGTACACCGCCCGCCAAACACAAAAATATTTTCGTTTTTACGAAACGAGGAAAAAACAGTAACAGGTGCAATTTATCAGGGGGCCACCACCAACAACAACATAACACTGTGTAGTTGTGGCCCGCCCGCCTCATCGTCGCCATCGCATCTCATGGATAATTACCTTGCATTTAACCAAAATTTTTGTATCTGCTTGAGATTACGCATCTGCATGACACGGGGATGTGAATTAAATTCCCTTACAATTTGTTCCCAGGCATCACGTATCGAATATTTGGAACGTTGCTTTTTACGAAATTTTATATCGATAACCTCTTCGTGCTGATGGAAGAGGCTATACAGGATTTCCTTTTCTTCTTGGGTAAAGCGTGGTGTTAGGGCCATTTGACATTTGCTGGAATTACCAGCACCACCGGCTGAGCCGCCGCCATTTGAGTTATTGGCTGACGCCGCTGAGCCATCTTCGACAGTAATTGTGACCGTGGTGGCCTGGGAACCATCACCAGCAGACATTGTTTTGGATTATTTTGTTATTAAATTTTGCCAAAATAATGGTTATTGTTGTTGTAACACTTTTGCTTTGATTTGCCAAACAAATCAATTATTTCCACTCTAATTTCTTTTTCACTCTTGCTTGTGTTGTCTCCTCTTGTTCTACTCGTCTCGTTGTCTTCATAAAATTATTTTTTTGCTCACTCTTTTCTTGTGTAGAGTTATAAATGACTTTAAACACCGCACTCCACAAAATAATTTTTCAAATATAATCAATAATTTTTTATATATTTTTCCAGAAAATCTATTTTTTTAACTATATTCATATTTTAGCTGTTATTTTTCATTAATTATAATTTCTTTAGGTATGTATTTCATTTTTTTGTTTGTTTGCTTGTGTGTTGTTTCATATTTCATCTGCTGCTTCTTCTTCCTGTTCACTATTTTCTACTCGTTCAACTTTGTTGTTGAAAAGCGCGCAAAAATTATATTTTTACTTCACTCACATTGCCTATCAATGAGCGACTAATACAATATGGCTCGTTTTTAGATATTGTCTTGTGAGTCGAGTTATTTTTCTTGTGTTGTCTTTGTTTTGTGTTCTCTCTTTATAATGGTTTGGCATTATTTTTTTGTAGTTTTCTTCTACATCAAATGGTTTTGTATGCATTGGCATTACTTTTAAGGTATTCCCATCGGTGGCAATGCAATGAGAGAGAACCAATTGAAAAAGCTGTACACACACAATTAACACAGTGCGTGTATCGTCAGAATTTTTTGTGAAATGCCCGTTTCTGTTTTATATGCATTGTTAATTATTTATGTGTTTAGTTGTGTGGCAATGCAATGAGAGAGAGCCAGAGAAAACAGCTGTAGCAAAATTAACACAGGGTGTATCGTCGATGTTTTTGTGAAATGAAGGCATTTCTAGGTTTAACTATTGTTAATTATTTATGTGTTTAGTTGTGTTGCTTATGTTCTTGTCTCTCCCCACGCCACAAAATAAATTTCCCATGTCCAATGGGTTAATTTATTTTTCCTTTTATTATTATGCATTTAACTGTCATTGACAGCTCAAAATGTGTATCTTACTCACTGAACATACCCCTCTAACAACACAAAATGAATATCTCACTTACTGAACATACTTATTATTCATTTTCAATTCCTTTTATTAGCAGTCTGCTGCATTGTTTTTTTAACTCCGTCTCTGACAGGGCAATCAGAGTCTCTCACTCACTGAACATACTCAATTGTCAATTTGATTTCCTTTTATTAACAGTCAGTTACATTAATTTAAATTTCTGTGGCAGCGTGAAAGGAGGCTGTTGTTCACTGAACATACGCAATTGTAAATTCATGTGTTTTTCTATATTTTTAGCGGTTATTCGTGTTTATACATTTAAATCTTGCTCTGGCACACCAATAGAGGTCTCTCATTTGCTGCAGATACGCAATCAATTAGAATTTTTTTTATTTTTTTATTATCGCTCTATGTATTTAAACATTTCTCGCTAACTGAACATACCCAATGGACACTGTGTTTCTATTGTCATCACTGTGCCTTTTTGCACTAAGCTGTGGCAGAGATAGAGAGAAACAGAGTGGCACAGAAAGCAACATATGTAATGCACTCAACACAGGGTGTTTCGTCGAAGTGCAGTTTTTTACATGGCAAATCACTGTGAAATGATAACATATGAAATTATACATTTGGCAGTGAAATGCCGCGATTTTATTAAAAAAAAAGGTTTGAAAAGTTTTAAAACAGAGTTTGAAATCTAATTAGTTAATATTTAAACATAAATTATGTCCACAAAATAATACAAAATCGTTTAAAATTGTTCCAAAAACCGAATTCCCATTTCACCATCATTATGTTGCTGCCTCATCCATTTCACCATCATCGGCTGAATTTCTACTCCTTGGATCTGGATAGAATTTCTTCAAGACTCTCTGTATGGCTGGCATTAAATTTTCAAATTGTGGAAATTTATCTCGTCGCGGTGGTCCCTTATCCAAACCGGACCACAAACAGTGTCTCGATGTGCGGGCATTTTGTGCAAATTCAATTTCAAATGCTCCGGCGCGCGGTTGCATCTTACCATAGCCATTGCGTATTAAGGCAAATTGACGTTCTGGTATTTGGTCCTGAAGAAATTTCAAAAACTCCTCCGCCTTTAGGGAAAATATTGGACATTCCATAGAATGTTCTATGTAGATTATGGAACGATTTTTCTGGAAGTTGGCCTCCGCAGACCAATCAATTTCACGTTGGCGTTTTTTATTCTTTTTGGGCATTTTTCTGGAAATTTTTTTTTTCACTGAAATTTTTGTTAAAAAATTTGTTTTAATTTTTGTTTGTTTTTCTTTTTTCCAACAGCAACCATGGTGCCACCCTCACGCCCAAATGTCACCCGCTTGTCAGACGATTCGGTTATGCTGCGCTGGAATGTACCCCGCAATGATGGCCTACCCATACAATTCTTCAAAGTCCAGTATCGCATGCTGGGCGACATTACCCGCAAAATACCCAAAGAAAATTGGCAAACCACAAACGATGATATACCCTATGGCCGTCGTAATGGTGACGGGCCAAAAAATTATACCACCTCTGTTACGGGTTTGAAACCCGATCGTTTTTATCGTTTTCGTATTGTTGCCGTCTACAATAACGATGACAATAAGGAGGGTAATACCTCTTCAAAATTTCTCCTACAACGTGGTGATGCCTTAGATTTGGCCAAATCAAATTTACCCATACCCGAATTGGCACGCATTGAACCATTATCGGAATCAGCAGTTCTCTTACAATGGACATTACCCAATAATCAGCATGGCTCCCACATTGATGGTTTCTATGCCTATTATCGGCCATCATCGTCGGCGGGAGAATATCAAAAGGCCACTGTCGATGGTATGCATACAAGGAAATTTAAAATCGATATGCTGGAAGCCGGTACAGCGTATGAATTTAAACTGCAATCATTTAATGATGTGGCTGCATCGGAATTTAGTTCCATAGTTTCGGTGCAAACGAAGAGTAAGTTGTTCGGAAATTATTTTTTTTTTAAAAAAATTGTAATTTATTTTAATTTTCAGAATCTGTTACAACCCCTGCCCCCACTCTGCCTGCTGTGGTGCCAGCCACCAAAACCAATGATGAGGATAATTCCATATTCCCTGTTGTGGCCGGGGCAGCTGGTGGTGGTATTCTGCTATTGATTGCCACCATTACGGCCTGTCTTTGTGTCAAGAGGCGCAAGAATTCACAAAGTGAGGGTAAGGGGAAATATTTTTCAAAACAACAAAATTTAAAAAAAAGTTAATTGTTTTTATTCTCCTCCGCCAGATGAAAATAAACCCCAATTGGATCACATACAATCGGATTTCGTTTCACCACAAGTTCAAGTATTGGGTGTCAACAATCATCACAAAGGCAATCATCGTTTGAATGGGGTTTTGCCACGCATGAATATTACACCCAATCCATTGGCCCAGGAGGCAGATAAGGTAAGATGCTCACATCATACCGAATATTTCTATTATGACATTCGGTTCTAGAAAATAGTTTATCTGTTGTGGCACTTTGCACTGCTTCAAATTCAATTTTTCCAATAACTTTCTATCACAAAAAAAAAAAAAAAAAATTATTCTCAAATGGTTGTATGTATTTGCTTCTACGGTCTGTATGTCTGGCTGATGGCTGTCTGTCTTCTTCAAAATGGTGTGTTTTCTCTGGGTCTTTCTTCTGGCACAACAACAAGAACAAAAACTCTTGGATAATTTCTTGTAAAAAAACAATCTTTATCTTCTTTTTTGTAAATATTTTTTATTGTTATTTTATTTATTATTTTTCCTTTATGTAAATATTTAGGTAATAGATGAAATTATAAGGTACACGGTATATTTTCATAATTAAAACCAGTAAGAAAAGTGGTAAAGTCGGACGGGCCGACTACATGATACCCTTTACCACTTTGGGTATATTCAACAGATGAATCCTAACAGACGTCGCTTTTTTGAAGGACCAGTAAAATGAAATTGGATTCATAAACATGTCATTCTGCAACCGATACTAATTTTTTCATTTGATCGGATATAGAGGACCTAATTCAGTACTCTATGCCAAATTTCGTGCAAATCGAAAGATATATAGGGACTTTGGTTCACCATTTACCTTAAATCGGACGAAAATATATATGGGAGCTATATCTAAATTTGAACCGATTTTTCCCAATTTCAGTAGGGTTCGTCTTTGGGCCAATTAAGTGACCTATACCAATTTTTATCAACATTTGAAATTTTTTCAAAATTTTAAAAATTATTTTTTATACCCTTCACCACACTGTGGTACAGGGTATTTGTGTATTTGTGCATATGTTTGTAACGGGCAAAAATAATCGAGATAGACCCGGTTCCTTTTGAGAATATGCATAGAATCACTTTCTGAGTCGATTTATGCATGTCCGTCTGTCCATGTTAAATTGTAAACAAAGGTCGCATTTATGATCCGATTTGAATGAAATTTGGTACAAGTCACTTATTTGGCCCAAGGACGAACTCTATTGAAATTGGGAAAAATTGGTTCAGATTTAGTTATAGCTCCCATATATATCTTCGTCCGATTTCTGGAAATTGGGCACCAAAGTCCCTATATATCTTTCGTTTTGCCCGAAATTTGTCATAGAGTACTGAATTAGGTCCAGAATGATGTGTGCTGAGTTTTGTGAAAATCGGTTCAGATTTAGATATAGCTCCTATATATATTTTCGTCCGATTTTATGTAAATGGTGGACTAAATTCCGTATATATCTTTCGATTTGTACGAAATTTGGCATAGGGTACTAAATTAGGTCCAGAATGATGTGTACTGATATTCGTGAAAATTGTTTCAGATTTAGATATAACTCCTATATATAGTTTTGTCCGATTTTAGGTAAATAGTCCACTAAAGTCCCTGGAACTCTTTAGATTTGCACGAATTTTGGCACAGCGTACGGTATTAAGCCTAGCATGATGTGTGTTAAGTTTCGAGAAAATCGGTTCAGATTTAGATATAGCTCCTATATATATTTTCGTCCGATTTTATGTAAATAGTTCACCAAAGTCCCTATATATCTTTCGATTTGCACGAAATTTGGCACAGGGTACTAAATTAGGTCCAGAATGATTTGTTCTAAGTTTCGTGAAAATCGGTTCAGATATAGATATGGCTTCCACATATATTTTCGTCCGATTCAAGGTAAATGGTTTACCAAAGTCTCTATAGATCTTTCGATTTGCACGAAAATTGGCATGGGGTAATGAATTAGATCCAGAATGACGTGTGTTAAGTTTGGAGAAAATCGGGACAGATTAGGATAATAGCTCACATATAAACTTTAGTCCGATTTAAGGTAAATGGCACACCAAAGTCCCCATATATCTTTTGAATTGTACGAAATTTGGTATAGTGCTCTGAATTGAGTCAAGAATTACATATGTTAAGTTTCGTGAAAATCGGTTCCCATATATATTTTCGTCCGATTTTTAACAAATGGTGCACCAAAGAGTCAAATTTAGTCCGATTGGCACAAAATTTTGCACAACGAACTGAAGTTATGATAGCCTAACGTGTGCCAAGTTTTATTGAAATCGGTTCAGATTTAGATATAGCTCCCATATATATTTTCGTCCGATTTTTAGCAAATGGGGCCTGAAAGAGTCACATTTAGTCCGATGGGCACAAAATTTTGTACAACGTACTGAAGTTGGTTTGGCCTAACGTGTGCCAAGTTTTATTGAAATCGGTTCAGATTTAGATATAGGTTCCATATATATGTTCGTCGGGTTTTCAGCAAATGGTTCGCCCGGTTCACATATAGACACAGATCATATATGTGAAGTAGTCCACTTTCATGTCAATGGTCCTTCAAAAATGCGAGGTCTGTTAGGATGCATCTCTTGAATATAGCCAAAATGGTAAAGGGTATTATGTAGTCGGTCCCGTCCGACTTTACTACTTTCCTTACATTTTCCACTTCTTCAAACTTATTTAAATTTTTTGTAAATATCCCACACATATTTGGTACTTGCTTACGGTCTCCTGCCCCCCACCTTCCCCTTGCAAATATATTCTTGTAAAAAAACCCCAAAAACCTGATACTAGCTTAGATACAGATATATTCGCGTAATCTATTCTAGAATCGTAATGTTATGGAATTGCGCTTCATGACCAACAACACCACCAACACCACCGGTAGCAGCAGCAATAACAGCGGCAGCAACAGCAGCAGTCACAGCACTCCCAATCACAGTAAAAGCAATAGCAACAGTAGCCACCACACCAACCAGCAGAACAGCTGTCACAATAGCCAAGAGAAATTGAACAGCTATGCCATCGAAGAAGATCGACCACCTCATACACCACCACAACGTTCCACATCATCGTGTGAAACCTTGGAGGCTGTCGATGGCATTAATTGTCCCCTGACAGCCACCGCAAATGGTTTAGATCCCAATTCGCCTTTGTGCAAACCATTGCCACCATTGCCGGGCAAGAATGCAGCGAAATTAGCAAATCATACAACCACCACTAAGACCAATCATAAATCCACATCCAATAATAATTTAAATAATTCTTCACAGGCATCCCATTTGGCATCGCAGGGTATCCATCATGCTCAGCCGTATTATCAGACGCCACCCACCCCAACAATGATGGCCAAACGGGGTGACTATCAGCAACCGCCTCCAGTGCCGCCACATCAAAATAATAATCATGCCGCTTTGATGAATCATCATTTGCCACCCACCACCCATCATGGTCATGCTCCCTTAACACCAAGTATGGAACAACATAGACGTACCCTAGATCGAGGTGGTGTACGGAACATGAGTTATTCACAAAACAATAGTAATCCCCAACTGGCTGCATGTCATGATCCCAGTGCGGTGAATATGGATAATATGACGGCGGCGACAACAAGAATACCCTCCCTAAGGCGTACCCGTCGCACCTCTGGCGGTAGTACAAATACAACGAATGGTCTGAATTCTCTATCCAATAATCCCAATGGGGGTTTAGGTATACCCATCACGGTCAGTGGTAGTCCACGAGTTCAACGCTCCCCAATGCCGGCGAGGGCGGCAATGATGAAACAGCGTTCACGTTTGGGTAGTCACAACGACAATATTTCATCGGGTAGTTTAAACAGTATTGAGGTGTAGGAGGGTGGAACTTGGAGTAGGTATTTTTCGGTCGTAGAGGTTAAATCTACAAGAAAAATGTAAATAATATTCCTAACAAAAATTTTGTCTAGCTATAAGTTTTTAATATAGAGTATGTAATTTAGTTCAGAAAAGTAGGTGTGTTAGGTCAGCAGGTCTTAAAATTTCAAAATACTATTGAAATTTAGTATGAATTTATTTGGAAATTAAATTATGGTATAGCATTAGGAGTTCAGTAAAGGGGCATTTCAAAAAAATGAATCTAAAAAACCATAGCCTAAAAATAGACCATGAAAAATTCTTTTAAGAAATCCGCGCCTAAGAATAGGCCATGAAAAATATTTTCTAAAAAGGAGAGGTTTTTAGAAAATAAAGTTTAATTTTTTTGACACTGAAAGGGTTAAAATATCTTCGCGCTCCACGCTTCGCGACTACACCGCCGTTCCTTTAAAATAAGGCGAGGATTCCCCACCTCCTCATCTGAAGGCCGTAATTCTGCTTTACCACTAACCTTAGTGTGTTCTGCCTTGGGTGGTTACGCTTGGTATCTCTTGGACCGCTACAGCTGCCAGTCTGTTGCTACCTTCCCAAAGAGCGTCCAGGTTGTTAATTGTCATCTTAAGGAAGTCCGCAGTCTCCTTAGTACGACAATTAACAACCTTTTGGCCCCTTTGTACAAGGAGATCTGGCCAAACCGTAGGATAGCTATCGACCAGCAACCCTTTATCCTCGCTGATAATACCGTCAGGATCAGCTCGGTCTATGATTGCTACTCGCAGATCATCCGGAACCTTATGTGTAGGTTTCTGGCCTACCTGCATGTTTGGCTTCCACCACACACTCACCGGATTCTCTTTTCTTTCTGTAGCCGAAGACTGCGTGGGTTTCTGTGCAGCAGGTTGTTGTTCCTCCGAGGACCTCATTTTCTTGACAGCTGTGGGCGAGATTTGGCACCCGGGGTTGCAACCGCAGCAGAGATATGCCCAGTCGACGCAGGCAACTGCTTCGCGCTCGCTACCTTTGGCGCATCCACTAGCAACTTGGGCCTTGGGCGTCGGCTTTGGCAATTCGACAGAGGGTGTTTATGTCTTATCGGTCTTCTTGGAGGCCTTTTTACGGGCTCTCCTTCGGGTCGACTTCGACAGTACCTTCCGTCTTTGTGGATGCTGGTGTCTGGGACGTCTGAGTACTTAGTTTACCCTTTTTAAAATTCTCAGGCATCAGCTTTCTATAGAATGTGCTCCTTCTCTGAAGGGACTACAGTGGGGGTCTTAGAATTGGGTCGGCGGGTGATTCTTTCAATATCGTTCGGATAGTTCCTGGATAACTTCCGGATAAATTTGAGATTCCTCTTGATTAAAAGGAACTCCTTTGATGAAACGGTTGCAGTAGTTAACTGCTCTCCGGTATATCTTTTTATTAGCGATCTCCTTGGCATCAACTTGCTTAGCAGTTACTGGTACTGATGAATCGTCCATCATATCGACGGGGGGTCTCGTCAGTACCAGTATCCGTTTCGACAGCCAACTACCTAAGTAATCTCGCGACATCACTACAGGCCGTGGTGATACCCTGCAGATCTTCAACCTCGCCAGGGTTTACTTCCCTAGTCAGCAACGGGGAGGACTCTCCTTGCTTCGGAGGAGACACTATAGTCGCTAACGTGTTTTTCACCGTAGTGCTAATCAATGTGCTAGTTTCCATGATGTCTTCCTCGTCTGACAAGGGCGAGTCATCGCAGAGCTGATTCGGGATGATCTTCTGAATAAGGCGGAAGGAGCCGGTTTCCTCTATTCGATTGAGGAAAAGAACCGACTGCCGACTCTAGACTTTCGTTTACGTCGTCGAGAGTGGGACATGAGGCAAAAGAGGGGTCCTGGGGGGTAGCGAAATAACCTAGACCTCGACTCGAATCCTCAATTAAAAAAGACTTAATTATAATAGAGGTAGTATACATGTTCCCATAATCATCATATTAGGTTTAAGAAAACCACACTGATTTGAAATGAATTCACAAAATTAATAACAACAAAAAAACTTTGAAATCGATTTTAAAACTGTAAAAAATTATAACGAATAATATGAACAAAATATTTTTTTAGTAATACAAATTATTAATATAATTATAGTTTTAGTTATAAAATAAATTGTTTTAAGCAGCCATTTGTTTTGTAAACATTATTAATTTAATAATCTATTTCCGTCCTGTATATGTTTTTATTTAATTTAATTACACATTGCCTTATTGTTAAATTACAAACAAAAATAATAATAGTAATTAATTAAATACTTAATTTGTTTATTAAAAATAAAATTTTAATATATAGACATATATATTAAAAAAAAACATTTGTTCGAAAAAATACTAATGGTTAAGTTAAGATTAATTAAATATTTATTTATTTTTTTTTTAATTTTTTATTTTGTGTTATGCTTTAAAAACAATTAAAATATAAAACTAAATTTTTAAATAAGGGAAGAAGAATCAGCAGAACAAAAACATAAACAATTATATTCTTTTAAATAACGATTCACCCTGTAATATTCGTTTATTACACCCTGTAATATTATTTTTATTACACCCTGTAATATTATTTTATTACACCCTGTAATATTTTTTAATAACAAAGTGTTTCACCCTATGCTTCCTGCTTTAAGCAAAAACAAGGCCTTTTTTCACTATAGAAAATAAAATCATATAAAATTATTATTATTTTTTTGTTAATTTATAATTATTTTTTTCGTTTTTAGTTTGTAAACTATAATAATAATAATTTCTTAAACAAAAAAATGACATTAATTTTAAGAAATAAAAAAATAAAAAAAAATAAAACGACAATCAACAATTTTAACAAAATTTTTAATAAAAAGAAAATTTTGAATATTTATTTTGGGAATAAACAAATTGGTAAGTAGTTAATAAAGCAGGGATCATGAAAAAATATTTGTAAAAAATCCGTGCTTAAGGTTATACCCCAAAAAATATTTTTAAAAAATCCGTGCTTAAGGTTATACCCCAAAAAATATTTTTAAAAAATCCGTACTTAAGGTTATACCCCAAAAAATATTTTTAAAAAATCCGTGCTTAAGGTTATACCCCAAAAAATATTTTTAAAAAATCCGTGCTTAAGGTTATACCCCAAAAAATATTTTTAAAAAATCCGTGCTTAAGGTTATACCCCAAAAAATATTTTTAAAAAATCCGTGCTTAAGGTTATTCCCCAAAAAATATTTTTAAAAAATCCGAGCTTAAGGCTATACCCCAAAAAATATTTTTAAAAAATCCGTGCTTAAGGTTATACCCCAAAAAATATTTTTAAAAAATCCACGCCTAAGGTTAGTCCCCAAACAATATTTTTAAAAAATCCACGCCTAAGTTTATACCCCAAAAATATTTTTAAAAAATCCACGCCTAAGTTTATACCCCAAAAAATATTTTTAAAAAATCCACGCCTAAGTTTATACCCCAAAAATATTTTTAAAAAATCCACGCCTAAGGTTAGTCCCCAAAAAATATTTTTAAAAAATCCACGCCTAAGGTTAGTCCCCAAAAAATATTTTTAAAAAATCCACGCCTAAGGTTAGTCCCCAAAAAATATTTTTAAAAAATCCACGCCTAAGGTTAGTCCTCAAAAAAATAATTTTAAAAAATCCACGCCTATGGTTAGGCCCCAAAAAATATTTTTAAAAAATCCACGCCTAAGTTTATACCCCAAAAAATATTTTTAAAAAATCCACGCCTAAGTTTATACCCCAAAAAATATTTTAAAAAAATCCACGTCTAAGGTTAGGCCTCAAAAAAATAATTTTAAAAAATCCACGCCTAAGGTTATACCCCAAAAAATATTTTTAAAAATTCAACGCCTAAGGTTAGGCCCCCAAAAATAATTTTAAAAAATCAACGCCTAAGGTTAGGCCCCAAAAATATATTTTTAAAAAATCCACGACTAAGGTTATGTGTCAATTGTGGGCAATTGTGGAATGTACGCACGTTGTACAGAACAGGCGCAGTGTTCGCTTTGGCAGATGTACTCAAGAAGTACAAAGCCGATATTATTGCCTTACAGGAAATGCGATGGAAAGGGACTGGCGTAAGTAAATCATGTGATTACGCCCTGTATTATAGCTGCCATGAAACGAGACATGAATTTGGCTGCGGATTTGTGGTTAATAGGAGAATAAAAGACCTCGTCTGCAGATTCACTCCAGTAGATGAGCAAATTGCTATAATCCGTATAAAAGCGAAGTTATTCTACATCAGTCTTATTTGCGCCCATGCTCCGACGGAAGACAAAGATGAACAGACCAAAGACATATTTTGCGAGCGTCTAGAAGCTGCATATGACCGCTGCCCTGGCTGCCTGACATTAAAATTCTGCTAGGAGATTTTAATGCAAAAATCGGAAGGGAAATATCTTTGGTCCCACTGTGATAAAATTTAGCTTCCACGAAGCAGCAAAGATGCGATCTAACACAACACGGAAACTCGACGCCGAAAAGCTGCAAACACAATAGGTAGCCGAGGTCTACTCCGCTCATCATACCCACCTGCTTGACGAAAGCAATTCTTGTCAGCGTATAGGGCAACCCTGCAGACAGTAGCAACACGTAATGTGATGGAGAATTATCGGCAGAAACGGAGAGAGGAAAAAAAGAAGAAAGAACAAGAAAAACGTGAGCGTAAGCAAATCGAGATGTACAGGAGTCAGAATGAAGTCCGAAAATTTTACCAACGAATAAAACACCAAACCGAAGGTTTTGATGCAGGGACATCCTCCTGTGGAGAAGAAGAAGGTGACAGATAGAGACGGCGTGCTGAGGATCTGGAAGGAGCATTTTGAAAAAACTTCTGTTATCAAATAGTGGCTGTGAAGAAGATACCCCAGAACTCATAGAGTGTATACCACCTAGCCAAGATGAGGTCAGAATTGCAAATAATCGACTCAAGAACAATAAAGCAGCATGATCTGACGGGTTACCAGCCGAACTATTCAAAACTGGTGGTCAGATGCTTGCTGGTCAGTAGCGTGCACCAGCTGATTAGTACAATTTGGCTAGAGGAATGCATGCCCAATGATTGGAACCTCAGCATCCTGTGTCCCGGTCACAAAAAAAGGAGACAAGACGATATGTGCCAATTATAGAGGAATAAGTCTCCTTCCCATCGCTTATAAAGTGTTATCCAGTGTGCTGTGTGAACGACTGAAGCCAATGGTCAATGACATTATTGGACCATACCAATGCGCCTTCAGTCCTTGCAAATCCACCATTGACCAGATTTTCACTATGCGCCAAATGCTGGAAAAGACCTACGAAAAACACATCGACACATACCACCTCGACATTCGACAGCCCTATCCGTTCACAGGTGTATAAAGCCATGTCTGCGTTTGGCATTTCTGCAAAATTAATACGGCTATGCAGGATAATTTTAAGTGGCACTAAGTCAGCAGTTAAAGTCGGAAAGGACCTATCGGAGCCCTTCAATACCAAACGAGGATTCAGACAAGGTGATAGTTTGTCGTGTGACCTGTTTAACATCCTGCTGGAAAATGTCATACGAGAGTCAAAGTGAAATGGCACTCTATACACCAAACAACACATGTTACTTGCCTACGCCAATGACATCGATATAATGGGTCGAACCCTGAGAGCGGTAACTGCCACCCCTTTGAACAAATTGAGAAGGACTCTGCCAAAGTGGATCTGGCAGTAAACAGCAGCGAGAAGACCAAGCTAATGGTATCAACGCGCAAGACATCCAGTAGACTCTGACCAACTGTGGAACTTGAGAACTACAGCTTCGAGGTAGTTTAAGATTTTATATACCTTGATACCGCCATAAATAAAACGAATGACATCAATTATGAAATTCGGAGAAGGATTGTGATGGCCAACCGGTGCTACTATGGTCTAAGTAGCATTTTACACTTTACAAGACGCTGATACTACCCGTGCTGTTATATGGATCTGAATCATGGGTACTTGCGCCAGCAGATGAGGCAGCTCTTGGAGTGTTTGTGAGAAAAATTCTTCGAAAGATCTATGGGCCGATCTGCGTCGACGGTGAAGCGGACAAAATTTTGATTAAAACCCAAACAATTTGTGTTATTACTCTCTCAGTCACTAGATTGCAAATTTCTGAAACAGACCCTGGCCTCCGTGAGCTCACCCCAGCAACCGGAGGAAACTTGTGTCATTACAGTGCCATAGTCAGTCGTATTGAGCTGCAGCGACTACGATGGCTAGGCCATGTTGTGCGAATGAATGAGAATGCCCCAGCTCAAAAGGCATATAAAAGCGAGCCTACTGATGGTTCCCCTAGAAGGGGAAGACCACGAATCAAATGGAGAGACCAAGTAGAAAACAACATCTTGGAACGTGGTCTTTCAAAATGGAGAAGATGCGCACAAGACCGACGCTCTTGGAAATCTTTTTTAAGCTTGGCTTATGGAACGAAAGTTCTGTCACAAGCCAACTGAGTATGTTAGGTGCCTGAAAAAATATTTAAAAAAAAATCATTCGTCTAAGCTTTATTCAGAAAATCCGCACAATAAAACTTCTATTTTTTTACAAAAATATTTAACATGTATAGTTTATTTAAATTTAAATATGATACATTTAAATTTGTTTTGTTGTTGTTTTTTTATTTCTATATGTAATTTGTAAAAAATAATTAACTTAGTAGTTTTCAGATTTTAATTTGATTTTAAATCTAAATACATCATTTAATAATAATTTTGAAATTTTTGTTTTCAAATTGTAGTTAAAAATTGTATCTGGAATTTATGTTGAAATTCGGGATATTTAAATTTTTTTAAATTAAAAAAAAATATTTTTTTTTAATAATTAATTTTTAATATTTTATTTGAAAATATTTTGATCTGCTTGTGTTTATTTTTTCCCCATAATTAAATGGGAAATAATAATTTTTGCTCTTGTACTTTTGTGTTTTAGTTTTTAATTCAGATACATTTTTTTTATTTCTAGGTTAGGTACGTTCAGTTAGTTGGTTTGAAATGGTCCTTTGACCTTTGTCAATATTCGAATTTTGGAGTTTTTGAAAACAATTATATGAAAGTTTTACATAATCCAAACCGAAGCTATGGAAATTATACCAATTATTTAGGTTAGGTACCAGCAATCTTCCTTTGTCGAAGGTGAAATTCTCCAACAAAAATTTATGAAAGTTTTACATAATCCAAACCGAAGCTTATTCAGGTTAGGTACGTTATTTGTGTTAGTTAGTTGGATTGAAATGGTCCTTCGACCTTTGTCGATATTCAAATTGTGGAGTTTTTGAAAACAAATTTATGAAAGTTTTACATAGTCCAAACCGACGCTATGGAAATTATGCCTTAGCAATCTGCTCCAAGGAACTGAGATCATTTATTCAGCTTGGGTACGTTCAGTTAGTTGGGTTGAAATGGTACTTCGACCTTTGTCGATATTTGAATTGTGGAGTTCTTGAAAACAATTTTATGAAAGTTTTACATAGTCCAAACCGATGCTATGGAAATGATCCCTTAGCAATCTGCTCCAAGGAACTGAGATCAATTATTCAGGTTAGGTACGTTCAGTTAGTTGGGTTGAAATGGTCCTTCGACCTTTGTCGATATTGGAATTGTTTTATGAAAGTTTTTGAAAACAGTTTTGGATGAAACTTTTACATTTAGTCCAAACCGATGCTATTTATGAAAGTTTTATCCAAACCGAAGCTAGCAATCTGCTCCAAGGAACTGATCAATTATTTAGGTTAGGTACGTTCAGTTAGTTGGACTGAAATGGTCCTTCGACCTTTGTCGATATTCGAATTGTGAAATTCTCCAACAAAAATTTATGAAAGTTTTACATAATCCAAACCGAAGCTATGGAAATGATCCCTTAGCAATCTGCTCCAAGAAACTGAGATCAATTATTCAGCTTGGGTACGTTCAGTTAGTTGGGTTGAAATGGTCCTTCGACCTTTGTCGATATTCGAATTGTGAAATTCTCCAACAAAAATTTATGAAAGTTTTACATAGTCCAAACCGAAGCTATGGAAATGATCCCTTAGCAATCTGCTCCAAGAAACTGAGATCAATTATTCAGGTTAGGTACGTTCAGTTAGTTGGGTTGAAATGGTCCTTCGACCTTTGTCAATATTCGAATTGTGGAGTTTTTGAAAACAATTTTATGAAAGTTTTACATAGTCCAAACCGATGCTATGGAAATGATCCCTTAGCTATCTGCTCCAAGGAACTGAAATCATTTATTCAGGTTAGGTACGTTCAGTTAGTTGGGTTGAAATGGTCCTTCGACCTTTGTCGATATTGGAATTGTGGAGTTCTTCAAAACAATTTTATGAAAGTTTTACATAATCCAAACCGAAGCTATGGAAATTATCCCTTAGCAATCTGCTCCAAGGAACTGAGATCAATTATTTAGGTTAGGTACGTTCAGTTAGTTGGGTTGAAATGGTCCTTCGACCTTTGTCGATATTGGAATTGTGGAGTTTTTTAAAACAATTTGATGAAAGTTTTACATAGTCCAAATCGAAGCTATGGAAATGACCCCTTAGCAATCTGCTCCAAGGAACTGAGATCAATTATACAGGAGGGTTGGTTTTATTTTTCTGGAGGTATTTACCTCTTATGGGCTCTCATAAATTTCGAGGATAGGTATTTTATTTCTTTATGATATTTTTTTTATTCAATATGAGTTCTCCATTGAAGAGTTTTGAAACCAAAAAATTACAGATTTATTTTTTTACATTTATACATTTATTTTTATATATATATAAAAAAATTAAAATATAAAAATATTATTTCTCTTTACTGTACAATAAGTATCATTAGTTCGGTTTTTTACAATTAACTTAAATTTAATTTTTTCAAAATATACCTGTAATCGAATATTGAAATATTTTTTTTTATATATATTTTTAAATATAAAATATATATTTTCCTTAAATAAATTAGATATTTATACAACAACAAAATTAATGGTCAACAGTATTTTTAAGTGAATGTTTCCATTTTTGTTGTCATAAATATTTTTGGTGGCATTTCAGTATTAGACATCACACATTTGTTCTGCAATTGGAGAGAGAAAGAGAGAGAGAGAGACAAAAAAATACCAGACAAAAAATTTCCAAAAGAAAAGAAAAAATTTTGAAAAAAAAAACGAATATAAAACCAGAATCAAAATGCACAAAACACACCACACACGTATGTTTACGAAAATATGGAGAAAAAAGAGAGAAAGACAAAAACACATAAATAAATTATTTTATTATTAAGTTTTTTTGGTTAAAAAATTCTTTAAAATTATTTTTAAGTAATTTTGTTTAACGATAATAAAAGCCAACATGCTTTGAAATAGAGGCAGTAATTTTTGAAATAGTTTTTGTTTTCAAAAGCTGTGAAGATTATTTGTAGGAAAAAAGAAGGTTTAGAAAAATTTTGACAATAGGAAATCAAAATATTTGGACACAATATTAAGTTGAAAAGAGGCAGAGATCTAATATATACATGATAATGATAATCTTTCAAAGGTCGTCTACAGATACCCGAACATTTATTTACATCCAAAAAAATTAATTTGACCGAATCCAACAGCCAATATTGTGCCCAAATATTTCCATCCAAGCTGTAACACAAAAAACAATCTAAAGCTATGCCAGAGCCTACTATGAGTTTAAATACTGGATTAAAAAAAAATTCAAAACTAAAAAATGAATTCAAAAAATAAGTTAAACACAACTTTAATTCTAATAAGACAAAAAATATCGTCGAATAAAAAAATTAAAGACTTTTTTTGTTTAAAACCCCAAAATATTGAAATTTTACATTTTTGCGCATCTTGTTCGATTGGAACTATCTTCCATAATAATGACCGAATCTTGATGAAATAATTTATGAATAATCTAGGGATATTAGTCTAACTCTGTGCAAAATTTCAGATCAATATGACAAACGGCGAGGTTTGTAGAATTTTTCTAAAATCAATTTTGATGAAAAAATTGACAAACAATTTTCAGTTTTTGTGTAGTTAGGATTTTTGGTTTTTTCGGGACTTAAATAATTTTAAGATTTATAAAAATCGATGGGAATATTCCTTCAAAGGAACCTTTATCACTGTGTAAAAGATTTTTTTATGATCAGAACAAAAATAAATTTTTTAAAGAGATTTTGTTAACAACCCCAAAAAATTCAAATTTTACATTTTTGTGCATCTCATTCGATCGGAGCTATCTTCCTTAATAATGACGGAATCTCGATCAAATAATTTATGAATAATCTATGGTTATTAGCCTAACTGTGTGCCAAATTTCAGATCAATACGGCAAACTGCGAGGTTTGTAAAATTTTTCCAAAGTCAATTTTGATGAAAAAATTTACGAAAAATTTTCAGTTTTTGTGTTGTTAGGATTTTTGGTATTTTCGGGACTTAAATAATTTTGAGATTTATAAAAATCGATGGGAATACTATTCCAGGGAACTTTTATCACTGTGCAAAAAACTTTTGTTGATGAGAACAAAAATATATTTTTTTAAAGATTTTTTGCTAACAACCACAAAAAATTGAAAATTTACAATTTTTGCGCATCTCGTTCGATTGGAACTATCTTCCTTAGTAATGACCGAAACTTCCTGAAATAATTTATGAATAATTTAGGGTCATTAGGCTAACTCTGTGCAGAATTTCAGATCAATTCGATAAACCACGAGGATTGTAGAATTTTTCTAAAATCAATTTTGATGAACAAATTTACGAAATTTTTTCAGTTTTTGTGTGGTAAGGATTTTGGGTAGTTGAGGGACTTAAATAATTTTAAGATTTATAAAAATCGATGGGAATATTCTTCCAAGGAACATTTATCATTGTGTAAAAACTTTTGTTGATTAGAACAAAAAAACATTTTTTTAAAGATTATTTGTTAAAAACCCCAAAATGCTACTTTTCAAATTTTTTGCGCATCTAATTCAATTATAATTTTCTTCCATAATAATGACCGCATCTTGCTGAAATAATTTATGAATAATCTAGAGTTACTAGCCTAACTCTGTGCCAAATTTCATGACATTCCATTAAAAACTTTGAGTTGTAGAAATTTTACAAAATTTAATTTGTTGAAAATTAAATTTTGTAAAAATTTTCAGTTTTTGTGTCATTGTGCAAAATTTTATGATCATTGGAAAAGTACAGCGCCCTCTACACTTTATACATAATTTGCCCAAACCTAATTCTAAAATCATTTTAAGCAAATTTTTTCCTGTGATGATTTTTTGAAAAGAGTTAGATTTGTTAGAAAAGGTTTAGGATATTTTCATCAAAACGAAAATGTTTTCAAAAAAATTTTTTTTGAGAACACAAACCGACAAATGTCAAAATTTCCCAAAAAGGTGATTTCTTGAAATTATGCGTAATGGCTTCGATCTTGATTTTCATCCATAATAACAACCCAATCTTTATGAAATTTTTTGTGGATCGTCTAGGGTTATTACTCTACCTCTATGCCAAATTGTATTAAAATTCATTTAAAAATATAAGCTGTGGAATTTTTTGAAAATCAATTTTGCTAAAAAAAATTTGGAAAATTTGTCAAATTTTGCGTTAGCAAAATTTTTGCTATTTCCCGACTTTAACTATTTTTAAGATTTATGTTATATTTTGTAAAGAAGCTTTGAGGCTATCTATGAATTGTGGCAAAATTTTATCAACATCGGAAAGCTACAATATTTTCCAGAATTTTTACAAAATTTGTATAATTTTGAAAATTTTTCAAATTTTGCGTTAGCAGAATTTTTGGCATTTTCCGACCTTAACTATTTTTAAGATTTAGGTTGATTTTTGTGGAGAAGCTTAGAGGAGTTCTTCATGTTTATGCAAAATTTTATGACGATCGGAAAATTCAAACAACCTCTAGAATTTTTGCAAATGTTTCCCAAAAATATTCAAATTTCCCAAAAAGTACCATTTAGAAATTTTGCGTAATGGCTTCGATCTTGATTTTCTTCCCTAATAGTGGCCTAATTTTTACCAAAAAAATTGTGAATATTCTAGGCTTATTACTCTACTTTTGTGCTAAATTGTATTGCAATTTATTAAAAACTGTAGGCTGTAGAATTTTTTGAAAATCAATTTTGCTGCTTAAATTTCGGAAAATTTTTCAAATTTTGCGTTACCAGACTTTTTGATATTTCCCAACTTTAACTATTTTTAAGATTTATGTTAATTTTTGTGGAGAAGCTTTGAGGCTATCTAGAAGTTGTGGCAAAATCTTATCAATATCGGAAAGCTACAACATCTTTCAGAATTTGTACAAAATTTATACAATTTGGAAAATTTTTCAAATTTTGCTTTAAAATTTTTTAAACACAATATTCTTCGCGTTAAGATTTTTAAGATTTATGTTATTTTTTATAAAACGAAGCAAAAAATGTTGTTTATGTTTGAGCAAAATTTTATGATGAAATTTCTCAAAAAGGCACTTTCTTGAAATTTTGCAAATGTTTCCTGTTTTTCTTCTTTAAAAATATTCAAATTTCACCAAAAAAATTGCGATATTATGGCCTCTATGCCAAATTCTATTAAAATTTATTAGAAACTCTAGGCTGTAGAATTTTTTGAATATCAATTTTGTTGAAAATTTCTTGTAAAATTTTTCAAATTTTGCTAGTGTAATTTTTGTATTTACCTCTATGCCAAATTGTATTAAAATTTATTAAAAACTTTAGGCTGTAGAATTTTTTGAAAATCAATTTTGCTGAAAAAATTTGGAAAATTTTTCAAATTTTGCGTTAGCAGAATTTGTAGAATTTCCCGATCTTAACTATTTTTAAGATTTATGTTAATTTTTGTGGGGAAGCATAGAGGGGTTCTTTATGTTTGAGCAAAATTTTATGATGATCGGAAAGCTACAACATCTTTTAGAATTTTTTAAAAATTGTTACAATTTCTTTTAAGGGATATCTACACAGCCAGCACAAAAATCGCTGTTAGCATTTCTTGGTCGTGAAATAAAATATTTAAACTTTCAAAATCTGTTGAGATGACCTAGATTTACAATATTTCTGCTGGGGTTTCGAAAATTCGGTGTTGGGCCTTTGGGGTTTCGGAAAATAGTTGGTTGCAGAACTAAAATGCCACTAGTCGACTTTTTTTTACTTTTTTGGGTATTAAGAAGTTAATTTTTTTAATTAATAAAAAATATGAAAAATTATATTGAAAATAAAAATTCAATATGCTATCCAATGAATGGCTACAATGAAATTAAAGAAAATAAATATTGTACCCTAGTGCGCATAATTAATATTAATTGACATTGCCATGTTGCGTATGATTTATAATAATTATTTTGCAGGCTAGGCTAGTTAGGCGTATGAGTAATATAATTTGTTTAAATAAATATAATTACTACTTGCTATATATAGAATAAAAATAAAAAAATAAATTAAAAATCTAAATAATTATGTGAGAATTTTTTAAGCATTTTTTTGCAAGAGATAGAGAGAACAAAAAATATTTTACTTTGCGAGAGTAATAAAGTAAGCGCAACTAAGTGATTGATTTGTTTGATATTTTTTATATTGAACTACTGCTCTGACAACTCAAATACAACTGACTCAGGAGGTTCGGTTGATGCTGGCGGTACCCTAAGTACCTTTTGGCCGCGAAAGCACAGTGTCAGCAACCAGCTGTGATGTGAGCGGCGATTATGCGGCAGCTGGTGGTGATGATGGTGTATGTGATGATTCAGGCGATTTAGTGAGTGCAGGCTGGTATCACTGCCAGCAGCCCCACCTATCCCGCCGCCATTGTTGTTATTCGTACTGCCCGTACTACCCAAACGCTGTTGATGGCCATGGTGAGGCTCTTGCGGCAGTGGCAAATGATTACCCTGGCCACTGGCATTGCTGTGCGATAGTCTTGGAGATTTTTGTATTTTAGGATGTTTGTTATTCGCCTGGTGTATGACCGTGGAGCAACTGCCCTTGCGGCCATTCAGACGTTTGGTGGAGGGTGAGCCATTGCTGGAAAAAAATAAAATTTTTGGAATTTAATTTTGAAAATTATTATTTAAAAATTTTTCAATACCCACCGTTTATTTTCACCATGATGATGATTTTCGGTATCATGGGCGGTATTATAACCCGCCGAGTACATTGAAGCTCGCTTGGGAACCCATTCGGGATGGCCGCGCACCGACATATACGTAGCCAGGCTTTTAAGTAGAACTGCCCTTACCTGCAATTAAAAAAAAAAAATTGTAAAAAAATTAATTTCCGATTTTTTTTTTATTTTCGAAAATCTCCACCTACCTCTCCGTTTAGGAAACAATAAATTAAGGCTATAAAAAATCCCTGAAATGTATTTAGGAAATGGGTCACATAGGACCACAAGGCAAATTTCCAGGGTGTCTCTAGGGTCGGAACTAAATATAAAATATTGATGGTGCCCAACAGAGGCAGTAAGACGATGGCAGCACGGACTGCCTTGCGGGTTTGCTCGATATCGCTGGCCTGGCTTTCGCGTAACTTCATGACCAGCACGGCGATTATGTTTAAAAGAAATGCAAAATTTATCTGAAAAAAGGGAAATTTTTTTAAAAATATTTAACAAAAAAATAATTTTCAAAATTAAAAAAAATTTAAATTTTCAAAATAAAAAAAAATAAAATTTTCAAAATTAAAAAAAAATAAAAAGATAAAAAAAATATTTAAAAAAAAAAAAAAAAAAAAAAATTTTAAAAAAAAATTAAAAAAAATTTTTAAAAAAATTAAAAAAAAATATTTTAAAAAAAATTAAAAAAAAATATTTTAAAATATTTCAGAAAAATCCAACAACCCTTACCGTTATAATAACAATACGCGGGCCCTCCAATATCCAATAGTACGGCGTTAAATTGTAATTACCCCAGCAGTCATGCGTCGTATCGGCATAATAAAAGGCCGTACATATCGCCCATATGGTGGTCATCAGCACGGGTACACCCCATCCCACAATCGAGTAGAGTTTATATGGGAATCTACCTTGGAATACGGAAACAGTGACCATATTGTGCAGATACCAGCCTTCGATGAACATCCACATAAACATGGCGGTCTTGGCATATTCCAATAAAATATAAGAGGTTTCACATAGGTAGAGCTGTAAGGGAGGGAGGTGGGAGAGAGAACATGGGGGCAATAAGAAAGAAATTAATTTAAAACCAGTAAGGAAAGCAGTAACGTCGGACGGGGCCGACTATATGATAACCTTCACCACTTTGGGTATATTCAAAAGATGAATCCTATATCTAAATTTGAACCAATTTTTAAGAAACTTAACACACATCATTCTAGACCTAATTTATTACGCTAACCCAAATTTCGAGCAAATCGAAAGATATATAGGGACTTTTGTGCCCAATTTACCTTAAATCGGACGAAAATATATATGGGAGCTATATATAAATCTGACCCGATTTTCTCGAAAATTGGGACACGTCATTCTAGACTCAATTCAGTACCCTATGCAACATTTCGTGTAAATCGAAGCAGATATATAGACTTAGGTGCAGCATTTACCTTAAATCGGACGAAAATATATATGGGAGCTATATCTAAATCTGAACCGATTTTCAAGAAACTAAGCACACATCTTTCTACTCTTAATTCAGTATGCTGTGCAAAATTTCGTGCAAATCGAAGCTATATAAAGACTTCGGTACACCATTTACATTAAATCGGACGAAACTATATATGGTAGCTATATCGAAATCTGAATCGATTTTCACGAAACTTAGCACACATCATTCTAGACCTAATTCAGTTCGCTGTGCCAAATTTCGTGCAAATCGAAAAATATATAGGGACTTTGGTGCCCTATTTACCTTAAATCGGACGAAAATATATATGGGAGCTATATCTAAATCTGAACCGATTTTAACGAAACTTAGCACACATCATTCTGTACCTAATTCAGTACCCTATACCAAATTTCGTGCAAATCGAAAGATATATAGGGACTTTGGTACACTATTTACATGAAATCGGACGAAAATATATATGGGAGCTATATCTAAATCTAAACCGATTTTTAGGAAACTTAGCACACATCATTCTGTACCTAATTCAGTACCCTATACCAAATTTCGTGCAAATCGAAAGATACATAGGGACTTTGGTGCCCCATTTACCTTAAATCGGACGGAAATATATATGGGAACTAATCTAAATCTGAACCGATTTTCGCAAAACTTAACACACATCATTCTAGACCTAATTCAGTACCCTATGGCAAATTTCGTGCAAATCGAAGGATATACAGGTACTTTGGTGCATCATTTACATAAAATCGGACGAAAATATATATGGGAGCTATATCTAAAACTGAACCGATTTTTACAGAACTTTGCACACATCAGTCTAGGCTGAATTCAATACGCTATCCTAAATTTCGTGCAAATCGCATGATATACAGGGACTTTGGTGCCCCATTTACCTTAAATCGGACGAAAATATATATTGAAGCTATATCTAAATCTAAACCGATTTTTACGAAACTTGACACATATCATTCTGGATCTAATACAGTACCCTATGCCAAATTTCGTGCAAATCGAAAGATATATAAGGACTTTGGTACACCATTTACATCAAATCGGACGAATATATATATATATATATGGGAGCATATCTATATCTGAACCGATTTGGAGGAAACTTGACACATATCATTCTAGACATAATTCAGTACACTATACCAAATTTCCTGAAAATCGAAAGATATATAGGGACTTTGGTTCACAATTTACATTAAATCGGACGAAAATATATATGGGACCTATATCGAAATCTGTATCGATTTTCACGAAACTTAGCACATATCATTCTAGACATAATTCAGTACACTATAATAAATTTCCTGAAAATCGAAAGATATATAGGGACTTTGGTGCACAATTTACATTAAATCGGACGAAAATATATATGGGACCTATATCGAAATCTGTATCGCTTTTCACGAAACTTAGCACACATCATTCTAGACCTAATTCAGTACGCTATGCCAAATTTCGTGCAAATCGAAAGATATTTACAGACTTTGGTACACGATTTACCTTAAATCGGACGAAAATATATATAGGAGCTATATCTAAATTGGAACCGATTTTCACGAAACTTAGCACATATCATTCTAGACCTAATTCAGTACGCTATGCAAAATTTCGTGCAAATCGAATGACATATAGGGACTTTGGTGCACCATTTACATTAAATCGGACGAAAATATATACGGGAGCTATATCGAAATCTAAACCGATTTTCTTCAATTTCAATAGGGTTTGTCCTTGGATTTTTACTTTTACTTACCGTATTTTCAATTCCCGTTATCGTTTCCGTTTTACCCGGCCGAAATGCCTGCTCCAAATACAAGGACAGCCGTATGATCACCTGCAGACCCATGGCAATGAAGAGATTTTTATGGATTTTTGTACGATTATTACGCAACGAACGAAAATTACAGAATATGATTAACGACAGGATTAATGCCACCAGTGACAGTATAAGGCCAACAATTTCCAAGGTACGTGTACGTTTAGCTATTTCAACGACTAGCTGTAAAGATAGGGAGAATGAAGGGGAGGAAATTAATAGAGAATCGACGAGGGAGAGAGAGAGGGTGTGAGAACTCTAGTACTTACCTCCAAATTCGGCACTTTATCTAATAACGTTTTTACTTCCGGCTTAAAGCATGGATTATAATCAGTCCAACCATTGGCACTGGGTGGCTCATGAGGTCGGCCACCCCAATGGCCGTTCAGTTCACATTTGCGATTGGCAAATTCTGCAAGGAGAAACAGATTTCAAATTAGTAAAGCATAAAAAATATTTTTTTTTTAAAGTTCCAAGCCCATAAATAGGCCTCAAAAATATTTTTAAAAATTTTAGACCTCAAATATTTTTTTGGGACCTTTTTCAATATTTATACCCTTCAGCACAGGATATTATGTCTTTGTGCATATGTTTGTAACAGGCAAAAGGAAACGAGATAGACACACGGTTCTTTTTGAGAATATGCATAGAATCACTTTCTGAGGCGATTTATGCATGTCTGTCCGTCCGTCTGTAGATGTTAGATTGTAAACAAAGTACAGGTCGCATATGTGATCTGATTTGGATGAAATTTGGCACAAGCCACTTATTTGACCTAAGGACGAACCCTATTGAAATTTGTGAAAATCGGTTCAGATTTCGATATAGTTCTCATATATATTTTCGTTCGATATAGACACTAAAGTCCCTATATAACTTTCGATTTGCACGAAATTTGGCATAAGGTACTGAATTAGGTCCAGAATGATATGTGCTAAGTTTCGTTTCAGATTTAGATATACCTCCTTTATATATTTTCGTCCGATTTATTGTAAATGGCGCACCAAAGTCCCTATATATCTTTCGACTTGCACGAAATTTGGCATAGCGTACTTAATTGAGCCTAGAATTATGTGTGTTTAGTTTCGTGAAAATCGGTTCAGATTTAGATATAGCTCACATATATATTTTCGTCCGATTTAAGGTAAATGTGGCACCAAGGTCCCTATATATCTTTCGATTTGCTCGAAATTTGGAATATCGTACTGAATTAAGCCTAGAATGATGTGTGTTAAGTTTCCTGAGAATCGGTTCAGGTTTAGATATAGCTCCCATATATATTTTCGTCCGATTTAATGTAAATGGTGTACCAAAGTCTCCATATATCTTTCGATTTGCACGAAATTTGGCATAGGGTACTGAATTAGGTATAGAACGATGTGTGTTAAGTTTCGTGAAAATCGGTTCAGATTTAGATATAGCTCTCATATATATTTTCGCCCGATATAGGCACTAAAGTCTCTATATATCTTTCGATTTGCACGAAATTTGACATAGGGTACTGACTTAGGCCCAGAATGATGTGTTTCAAGTTTCCTGAAAATCGGTTCAGATTTCGATATAGCTCCATATATATTTTCGTCCGATTTAAAGTAAATGGTGCAAAAAGGTTCCTATATATCATTCGATTTGCACGAAATTTGGCATATCGTAATGAATTAGGTCTAGAATGATGTGTGTTGAGTTTCGTGAAAATCGGTTCCGATTTAGATATAGCTCCCATATATATTTTCGTCCGATTTAAGGTAAATGGTGTACCAAAGTCCCTATATATCTTTCGATTTGCACGAAATTTGGCATAGAGAACTGAATTAGATCCAGAATGATGTGTGCTAAGTTTCGTGAAAATCGGTTCAGATTTAGATATAGCTCTCATATATATTTTCGCCCGATATAGGCACTAAAGTCCCTATATATCTTACGATTTGCACGAAATTTGGCATAGGGTACTGAATTAGGCCCAGAATGATGTGTGCTAAGTTTCGTGAAAATCGATTCAGATTTAGATATAGCTCCCATATATACTTTCGTCCGATTTTATGTAAATGGTGTACCAAGGTTCCTATATATCTTTCGATTTGCACGAAATTTGGCATAGCGTAATGAATTAGGTCTAGAACGATTTGTGTTAAGTTTCGTGAAAATCGGTTCAGATTTAGATATAGCTTCTATATCTGACCAAATGAAAAATTTAGTATCGGTTGCAGAATGACATGTTTATGGATCCAATTTCATTTTACTGGTCCTTTATAAATTCGACGTCTGTTAGGAGACATCTATTGAATATACCCAAAGTGCTGAAGGGTATCATATAGTCGGTCCAGTCCGACTTTACTACTTTCCTTACTGGGTTTCTTTAATTTTCTCCATGGTTTTAAGTTTTTCTTGACATTTCCATACTTACTTCTTGCATCGACTCCCCGAAAACCCGATGGACAGCCCATGTGCGCCAATGCTCCAGCTGGTGTAGGTGGCCAACATGTAAACATATCCCAAGTCCAGTTGCAAAATAAACCTAAAAAAAAACACACACACAGACACCCACAAAGAAAAGTGAGAAAGGGGATATAACGACAATTAGTGATAAAGTGTGGTTAATGGCAAGTGATTTGATGAGACAAAAAAACAGAAAACACGACAGTGACGTTGATAGTGGCTAAATTACGATGGAAGGATGATTACCATAAAAGCTGCGGCCACGCACACATATACCGTGACAATAAAAACTTGTAATTGGACGAGGTATTTAATTGCGGAACAAAAAAAAATTTAGAGAAATAAATTAACGTTTGGTAAATGTTTGCGGTATTGGATTACGGACAAAAATAAAAATTATGGAAATATCGGAAATTTCGAGAGGATTTTGGAAATAGTGGAAAAAATTTTTAAAAAATTTTAAAATTTAAGAAAATATGATTTTTTTGACCTTTGCATGCCCTCTGCGCATGATTATTATTAATACAAGAGCATGGGTGCGTATAACTAATAATAATTCAATATTAGGTAGGATACAAGGGAGCGTATGATTATTATTAATTCAATAAATTTAATTTCCATAGGAAAAGAATATATTTTTTTTAAATTTCAAAACTTAAATTTGAAAACGGACAACTAATTGCTTTATTAAAATTCACCAGAAATTTACATTTCCTGCTACTACACCTTCTTTTTTGCTGAGGCTATTTCTTTCTTTCCACCTTTGTTTGTAAAATTTCCTCTTCTCCATTTTCTCCTCCCCCGTTATATTTACCCAGGCTTCCGTTGAGTTTACCTTTTCTTCTTCTTTTTGCATTCTTTTTCGTTTACAACTATTATTTTGCTTCTATATATTTATTTACCCTTATCTTAGAAATGTCCGAACTAAAAGTAAACTTATTTGGGTCACTACCACCCCCGCTACGAAGTGTCCTGGCAACAATGTTTTTTCTAATGATTTAATTTTTGTTCGTAATTGTCGAGGAACTGAATTGAAGTGAATGGAATTCATTATTTGCAATAATTGATTGGACAAAAATTGCAGCAATTGGTGCAGGACAGGAAGCAGGTGGAGGTAAAAAAAAATAAAAAAATTCTGCTTCTTTGAAAAGAAATGTAGAGGAGCCAGCGGAAGTTATGTGAGAGTTCGTTGAAGTCGAATTAAAGGTCCCAGCAGGAAATATTGAGGGGCTGCGGGTCACATTTGAGTGTGAAGATGAGCTGAAGAAGTGCAGGAAGCTGTCAAAGCCTATACCGGCAAACAGAAGATCCCATGAGTCTGTGTAGTTGTGGTGAATACATATATAGTTCAGAGGAAGTTCATTGGAGGCTATCTAGGAGAATTAATGTACTTAAGAAAGTTTGTATAAGTTCTGGAGAGCCAAAGGGGTCTCTCTAGTAGGTTCTGAGATTCTGAGGAGACTATGTATTGAGTAATAGGAGAGCTGAAGGCCACATTTTACTGTGAAGACGAACTGAAAAGGAAGATGGAAGCTGTTGAAGCCTATATCGGCAAATAGAAGACCCCGTGAGTCTATGTAGTTGAGTTGAAGGCCTCTATATCTCAGACAGAGGTCATACGAGGCTACCAAAAAGAACTGAATAGCTTAGGAACCTATATATAAGTTCTGGAGGACCACAGGAGATCAGATAAGTCTCTTTATTAGGGCTAAGGGAAAATAAGTATAGAAAATTAGGGGAGCTGAAGGTCACATTTTACTGTGAAGATGGGCTGAAGAAGTACAGGAAGCTGCGGAAGCCTATACTGACTTGCTGAAGACCCCATGAGTCTATGGAGTTAAGTTGAATACCTATATAGTTCAGAGAAAGGTTATACGAAGCTATCTAAAAGAAATGAAGTACTTAGTAAGTTCTGGAGAGCCAAAGGAGATCAGATAAGTCTCTCAAGTAGGACTGAGGTTCTCAGGAAACTAAGTATAGAAAACTAGGAGAGCTGAAGGCAACATTTTACTGCGAAGATGAGCTGAAGAAGTGCAGGAAGCTGTTGAAGTCTTTACTGACAAGCTGAAGAGCCCAGGAGTCGATATAGCTGAGTTGAAGGCCTATGGAATTTAGAGGAAGGTCATACGAAGCTACCTAAATGCAATAAAGTACGAAGGAAGTTCTGGAGAGCCAAGAGAGATCGGATAAGTCTCTCTCTAATGGGGCTGAGGTTCTGAGGAGACTATGTATAGAGTAATAGGGGAGCTGAAGACCACATTTTACTGTGAAGATGAACTGAAGAAGTGCAGAAAGCTGCCGAAGTCTACATCGACAAACAAAAGACCCCATCAGTCAATGTAGTTGCGTTGAAGGCCTATAGAACTCAGAGAAAAGTCATACGAGGCTACATAGAAGAATATAAATACTTAGGAACGTCTATATAAGTTCTGGATGACCACAGGAGATCAGATAAGTCTCTCTAATGGGGCTGAGGTTCTGAGAAGACTATGTGTAGAGTAATGTGGGAGCTGAAGGCCATATTTTACTGTGAAGTTGAACTGAAGAAGTGCAGGAAGCTGTTGAAGCCTATACTGATAAACTGAAGACCCCATGAATCTGTGCAGATGACTTGAAGGCCTATACAGTTCCTAGGAAGGTCATACGAGGCTACTTAGGCGACTTGAAATACTTAGGAACGTCTGTATAAGTTCTGGAGGGCCAAAGGAGACCTGATAAGCCTCTCTACTAGGCCTGAGGTTCTGAGGAGACTATGTATTGAGTAATAGGGGAGCTGAAGGACACATATTACTCTGAAGATAAACTGAAGAAGTGCAGGAAGCTGTTGAAGACTATACTGACAAGCTGAAGACCCCATGAATCTATGTAGTTGAGTTGAAGGAATATATAGTTCATAGGAAGGTTATGCGAGGCTACTTAGGCGACTTGAAATCATTAGGAATGTTTGTATAAGTTCTGGATGGCCACAGGAGATCAGATAAGTCTCTTTAGTGGGGCTAAGGGTCTGGGGAAACTTAGTATGGGGGTATAGGGGAGCTGAAGACGATATTTGAGCATGTAGATGAGCTAATGAGGCCATACCGACCAAATGAAAAGAACATGAGGCAACGAAAGTTGAGTTGAAGGCCTATACAGTTCAGAGGAAGGTCATACGAGGCTAAAGAGAAAAACAGAAGTTTTCGGGAGCCTCCATAGGTGATCTGATGGGCTAGGGAATGTAAACATTTGAGTTAGAAGTCTGTATAGTTGTATAGGACGAGGTTTTGGGTCAATAAAAATCAACTGAGGCCTTACAAAAGGTCTGGAGGGCCAGAGGAGATCTGATAAAACTTTGTGGTAGGGCTGAGGGTCAGAGGCTATTAAATTTGCGGAAATTAGGCAGCTGAAAGCCAAATTTAGAGAGTAAAGATAGTTCTAGTGATCATTGGAGTATGTGGTTGAGGTAATGAGCCCATACCGACCAAATGAAGATCCCATGAGGCTACGAAGTTGAGTTGAAGGTCAGTCATAAGTTTTCGGGAACCTCCATAGGTGATATGAAGTGATTGGGAATGTGTACATTTCAGGTAGATGTCTGTATAGTTGAGCGGACGAGGGTTTGGGTCAAAAAAAAAAAAAAAAAATTAACTGAAGCCTGACAAAAGTCTATGTTGACTATCTGAAGGCCATGAGAAGTATTGAACTACATAATCCTCTCTGCATCAGTTCTGGAATGCCACAGGAAATCTGATATCACTTCGTAGTAGGGCTGAGGGGTCAGAGGAGATAAAGTTTCCGGAAATTAAGCAGCTGAAGGCCAATGTTGAGTATATATATGAGCTGAAGAGCTTATACCAACCAAGTGAAGAGCCCATGAGTCTCTGAAATTATGATGAATGCATATATAGTTCAGAGGAAGCTCATGCGAAGCTATAGAGACGAACAGAGGGGTTTAGAAGTCTCCCTAGGCGATTTGAAGGTCTCAGGAGGGTATACATTTGAGCTGAGGGTCTGTATAGTTGAACGGAAGTCGTTAGGGGTCTTTAAAAAAAAAATTAAAGCCTCACAAATGTCTATATTGACACTCAGAATGCCACAGGTTCAGCATTGAAGCGTTAGGCATTTTTGGGAACCTCTGAGAATGTTCTGGAGGGTCACAGGAGCCTATAACTATAAGATGAAGACGCCATGGGTGTCCGAAGTTAAATTGGCTTATATAGTTCAGAGGAAGATCAAACGATGCTAGAAAGACCTGCAGTAGATTTCGGAAATCTTGAGGAGGTTGTGGGTCAATAAAAATGTACTGAAGCCTTGCAGAAGACCACAGGTTCTATATAGAAGGGTTAGGAAGTATATAGAAACCTCTGTATAAGTTTTGGAGGGTCACAGTAGACCAGAAAAGTCGCTAAAGTATAATTGAGGTTCCGAGGTTGAGACCATGAGTCTCCGAAGTTGACTTGAAGGCCTATATGTTTCAGAGGAAGCTTTGCAGGAAAGGGAGATTGCAAAGATGAGCTGAAGGTTTCGGGTGTCTCCAAAGCCTTTAAAAGGCCCAAGAATTTCACATTTGGGTTAGAAGTCTGTACAATTGAGCTGAGGAGTTCATGAGTCAATGAAAATCCACTGAAGCCGTGGAGAAGTCTTTGTTGACTATCTGAAGACCACAGGGTCTACATCGAAGGATTAGGAACTATATAGGGACCTCTGTTTAAGTTTTGGAGGGCCATCGGAGACAACATAAGTCTCTCTAGTATAATTGAGGATTGGAGATTGAGGCATGAGTCTCGGAAGTTGAATCGAAAGCCATCATATTTTAGAGGAAGATCGTGCGAGGCTGCAGAAGTTTTCGGGAGACTCTAAAAGCGACTTGAAGGCTTGCAGCAGGCCTATGGAGTTCTTTTAATGGAGTCCGAAATAGGTCAAATGATTCTGTCAAGGCTAATTGTAGTCTAGAGAGGTGATTGTATGCAAAATGAATGAGCTCATGAGCTTATATGGGTGAGCTGAAGTCCGAAGATCTTGTCAGACGACCTGAAGGTCCAATGAAGCTTTTCGATCGAGCTGAAAGGCTGTAGGAGGATGTGGAGAAGTACTGAAGGCCACATAAACTTAATGAGATGAGTTAAGGAGCCATGAACGGCCCGTATTCCTATTATCATTTGCAGTGAGGCCTCTGTGGCGTATAAATGCTGTCACAATGTATACGCCACATTGTACACCAGGGAAAATCTGAAAAATAAGCAATTCAAAGAGGAAACAGACACCAAACAGGCTAGGGAGACAATCGGAAAGGCCCAGAAGTCTATATAGATGATCGACTAGAATGACGGCCGGAGACTAAAATGAGTTATACAGGCAAGATGAAGGCTAGAGTACTATTTGTATTTGATCTAACGATCCGTTGTGGGCTTCTGCTGGGTATTGAGGGGACACATGAGCTTATATAGGTGAGCTGAAGTTCCAAAAGAGTCTTGTTAAACGGTGTGAAAGCCCAAAATGTCTTTCCGACTAAGCTGAAAGGCTGTCGGAGGATGTGAAGAAATAGTGAAGGCCACCTGAGCTTATGAAGGTGAGCTGAAGGGCCAAGAAAGGTCCAGTATCTTTATGAGGAGCAGCAGCTAGGTCTCAGAAGCCTGAGTGACAGCTGGAGGATCTTAATCACCTATATATTTAACCAGGAAGCCCACAAGGGCCTTTATCTAACTTACGGAAGCTTAAACCTTCTTCTCTTTTTCTACCAATTACAGAAAGTTGGACCCTGGAGCGCATAACTAATATAATTAGCCGGGCTCTGGGGGCGTATTTACAACTTTATTAGGTTTTTATTACTCATACACCCAAAATATGAAACCCGAAGAATTTTAAAATAGATTTGAATACCTTCTATTGAAATATAAGTCATTGTATCTCACCTGTTTGCGGTGGCGTATAGCTGCTAAATATTGCCGAACAATTTTCCGCACTGCTAATTGGTATGCCATAACTAGGATATGTTATATTCCTTATTAACGACGTCAGGGTGGTGTGTGGCGATGTTAGGGACGGGTTGGTGGCTTGCGTTGTGGACGTAGCCAAGGTGGCATTGGCAACGTCCGCTAAATGGGACACTGCTGTTGATATCACATTGTTGCTGTTGTTGTTGTTGCTGTCGCTACTTGCTAGGCTGGTATTGTAATAGGTAACATTGGTGGAATTTTGTAAAACTTCCGAAGTCATTGTTCCGACCACATTGGCTACAAAATGTGTAGGTGTACTGTTCGTCATCATCATCGTCGTCGTTGTCGTTACATTTGTTTGTATATCGTTGGTCAGCAGTTGGTGTGTGTTAGTAGCCTCGGGCATGCTTGGTCCTGCTGTTGTTGTTGTCGTTTCATTTAGTTGACGAAAATACATCTGCAACACCCTTGTTACATTTTTACGTATCGTTGCTATGCTCTCAGCTAAATTTCGATCCATTATTACACTGACGCTACTGGGCTGATGATGGTCAAGATGTTGTTGGCGCCCAACCGCTTCATTGCCACCTTTCGTTTCAATGGCATTTTGGATAACGACACTGCGTTTAGTTAACAATCGCACAGCAGCCTTGTGTAGATTTTCAGCAACATTCAAATCATTTGATGCTTCGGCAATGGTCGGCGATGATTTAGGTTCATACTGGGGTGTCAGTGTCGTCAAAGCCATTGTCAGGTTGAGCGGAACATTGGTGAAAGGTAATTGAATGGAATCGGCAACCTTTTTAAGTGTACAATGGGATTAGCGTTTCGGTTGTAAAATTCGTCGTGGTAGTAAATTGACAATAGGTTTTTGTTCGGAAACCTAGAATTAGAAGATGGAGAAAAATTGGAATTAATGTTAAGGGTTCCGATTAGAAATGTAGCTTAAAAATTCAATTGAAAATGTGTAAGGAAGCTCATATTTGTATAGAAGACCTAAGTGGCGTATACGAACTGTCACCAAGTATACGCCACATTGTACACAACGGAAAATCAAAAAAATAAGCAAATTAAAGGGATTCTAAAGAGGAATGACAAACGAAAGAGGCTAGGAGAGAGACCTAAAAGGCCCAGGAATCTCCGTAGATCAACTGAAGCCCAGATGGGTCCATAGAGACGTTTTGAAGGATTGCCGAAGGCTCATAAACTAACAGGCATAGCGTAGAGATTGATATTGAAATTCGCAGGGCACTGGAGGCATGTAAAGTCTATATATAAACCTCCTGGATGGCCTGCAGGAATCTCTGTAGATGCAGCAAATTATAGCTGCTGCTCAAAGAGGTTAATATTTTATTATAAGAGACCCATGTGGCGTATAACAGCTGTCACAATGCATGAGAATCGAAGAATACAGGCTGTTCGACGAGTTTTATTAGAGGAACCTAAAGCGAATTTGGCTAGGAGGACAAGCTCCATGTTCCAGTAATATATGTAGATTAGCTGAAGCCCAGATGAGTCTATAGAGACAATTTGAAGGACTGTCGGAGGCTCAGAGACTAACAGATGTAGCATAGAAGTCTCTATTGAAATTCGCAGGCCACTGGAGGCATCTGAAGTTTATATAAACCTAGTGGATGATCTGCAGTCATCATGGTAGGCTAGAAGGACAAGATGGAAGCCCCCTGATTTATCTACTTTGCTTCTCATCAAATTTTACTAGACTTCCAGGTTCTTCAGCAAGTCTCGGTGGTCCTCAATCTCGTCTATGTAGGTTCAGCAAGCCTTTAAAGGTTCCTGTAGTATTCTATTCATCCATATAATAACGCAGCGAGGGTACATAGCCTCCTGAGACTTTCGCTGAGTCTCCGGAGGCCTTCAGTGAACCCTAATTAACTCCTAGCCCTCAGTGTACCTTCGGAGTTTGGGCAGGCGGCCTCTTTTGACTAGTTTTGGTCTTCGACTCAACTTCTGTATCTCTCATCAAGTCTCTGTGGACTTTCAGGGTCTTCAGCAAGTCAATGTAGTTTCAACAGGACTTTACAGGTTTCTGTAGGATTCTATTCATCCATATAATAATACAGCGAGGGTACAATGCCTCCTGAGACTTTCGCTGAGTCCTCATAGGCCTTCAACGAGCCCTGTAGCCCTCAGTATGCCTATGGGAGTTTACAGAAGCTTCATTTGACCAGTTTTGATCTTCGTCACATTTCTTGTACCTCTCATCGAGTCTCAGTGGACTTCCAGTGCCTTCAGCGAGTCTCTTTAACCGCTAAACTCATCTATGTAGGTTCAGAAAGCCTTTACAGGACTCCTGTAGGGTTCTATTCATCCAAATTATATTATAATAAGGGTACACAGCCTCCTGAGACTTTAGCTGAGGCTTCAGAGGTCTCCAATGAGCCCTATTTAGCTCCTGTAGCCCTTAGTATGCCTTCGGTTGTTTGTGGAGGTTTCTTTCCACCTACATTGAATTCTATGACCCTTAATATCGGCCTTCGACTTATCTCATGTGGCTCTCTTCGGTTTCAGCAAGCCTTTACAAGTTTCTGTGATCTTCATCGGTCCACCTGAGGTCTTCAACGAACCTTTACTAGTCTCCAGTGACTTCCACTGAGGCTTCAGAGGCCTTCAACGAGCCTTAATAAACTCCAGTGGCCTTCTGAATACCTTTGGGAGCTTATGGCGGCTTCTTTTCACCTACATTGAATTCTATGGCCCTTTAAACGGATTCTAAGGCATTCGAGATATCTCCTGTGGATCTTATCAAGTCTCAAGAGGCTTCTAGAGCCTTCAGAAAATTTATGTGGCCATGATTATCATCTATTACCGTTCCTGAGACTTTTATTGAGCCTCAATAGACTTCTATATCACTTTACAAATTTCTGGGGACATTCTGTCCATCTATTTAGATTTCTGAGACTCTCATTGAGGCTTACCTGACTTCATTAAGGTCTTGCTAAAGTTGAAAGAAGTCAAGCCCGGCTCAATAAAGGTATTAGGTACCTAAATAGTTGAAAAGAACGAACACAGAAACTTGTTGAAGGCTATAGAAGTCTATTGAGGCTTATTGAAAATCCCAGGAACCGTAAAAGATGATAATCATGACCATAAAAACTTACAGAAGACTCTAGAAGCCTCTTGAGACTTGATGAGAGACAAATCGAAAGCCTTAGAATCTGATTTAAGGGCCATAGAATTTAATGTTGTCGAAAAGAAGCCTCCATAATTATTAAGGCCCGTTGAAGTCCTCTGAAGGCTCAATGGAAGTCACAGGGACTAATAATGAATCGTTAAGACCTTAGGTGGGCCTATTTAGACCGGATGGGAGCCACAGGAAATATTCGAAGGCCTTAGAATCCGATTTAAGGCCATAGAATTCAATGTTGGCGAAAAGAAGCCTCCATAAGCTTCCGAAGTCATTCGAAGGGCCACTGGAGTTTATTAAGGCCCGTTGAAGGTCTGAAGCCTGAAGTGGAAGTCTCAGGGGTCTAATAAAGGTTCGTTGAAGACCTCAGGAGAGCCGGTGAAGGTCGTAGGAGTACTATGTGGGTAAATAGAACCCCACAGAAACATGTAAAGACTTGATGAAACCGTAGAGAGCCACATGAGATAAGTCGAAGACCAAAGAATACGACGATAATCATGACCACAGAGGCTGCTGAATGGCTCTGGAAGCCTCATGTGACCATTAATCTCAATTAATTTGGTTCCGACGGCCTATGGGTTTTCTGCAAAACCTCCAAAGTCCCTCTGCCCGCTCATATAGACTATCTAGCTGCTTTGGACTGTATTTTGCTGCTTTGGACTGACTCGTGAAGTCTTCCCGCAACTCTACCCCTTCTCTCCCTTTTTAAATTAAGCATAGGCTTTAATTTATCTATACCGAATTCTGTGAGCCTTTCTCTCATCTCTACAGATTTCTGTGAACTTCTTCGTATCTCCTCATTTCAATTTTTTCTTCGATAATTGAAATCGATTGACGTCACCTGGGCTAATATCGGCTTACACTTCGTACGAACGAATCAATAAATTCCAATTAGAATTTCGGCAAGCAGAAGAATTATGTAAGTGAGGATTAAGTTAATCAATTAATTTTTGGCGGCCCAAAGGTCATGCAACAATATTTATTTTCAGGGTCATGGGCTAAAAATAAAAGAATTATTGCACACATGGGCGTATGACTATTATTAATTCAGGACGTATGAGTAATATAATCTACATTGGTTAAATATTAATCATACGCAAGGGGTGTTCAGAATTTGAATATTTAAAAAGTTCCCACTTACATTTTCCAACTCAATGCTCAGGTCGGAATGTTCGGATTAAAAAATAAAATATCACATACATAGGGGCGTATAATTATTATTAATTCAGGGCGTATGCGTGTTATTAATTTCATTCCACGAATATTAATCATACGCCAAGGATTCAACACAAATTTAAATATTTAAAATTCATCCATTTATCCACTTCTAGTTTCCGATTTTCCACATTTTTTTTTACTTCGTTTTTTCTTTCATCCGCACACTTCTTCTTCAGCGCTATCTTTACTGTGTGGCAATTATTTGTCCATTAAATGCACAGCATAACAGCTTACAAGTGTTGTTATTTTTATTTATATTTTCCCCACCTTCTGCTCTCCTCCTCCTCCTCTGGCTCTACATTCTTGCCGTTGTATATATTTCTGAAGAAATGCCTCTTCAACTGAGCTGGAGTGTTGCTCTCAATTCTGTTCAGAGTGCCAAAGAAATAAAGCTAAGATCCATTAAATGGACAACGAAAAGGAAGGAAAGAAAGCAATGTGACAGTGTGTGTGTGTGAGTGCGAATGATTGTGTATTTGCTATCCTCTAAATGATACTATAGGATATTCGGATTTTTTTACAGTATGGGTTTTTTGTGTAAATTTTGTATCTTTATTTGTCCGGTTTGCTTATTCAATGACCTGGATATTAAGCGAATTGCCTCTTCATACGAAGCAATGAAATTTTTTAGCAGTATTTATGGTTCAGTTTGTAGTTAAAGGTAGCTTTAGAAATCGATGTTAAGGAATATATCGCCACAGAACCTGCATAATAATTTAAGTCCATATGATCCACAGAGTTTGCATATTAATCACAATTATAGGCTACCTCTGGTCATCAAAGACCGACTGAAGACGATTGTGACCTGTCTTTTCGACTGTGGACTTCACCTCATAACCTGCAACGTCTATTTAATCTTATTATATGTTACTACAGCGAGGTTAAATAGCCTCCTGTGACCTTCAACGAGCCTCCTGAAATCTTCAACGATATCTTAAACTGAGAGATCTTAACTCCAGTGACCCTTCGAATGCCTTTGGGAGCTTATGGAGCGTTCTTTTGACCTAAATTGAATTCTAAGGCCTTCGACAAATGTCTATTCTACGGCCTGTGGCTCTCATCATGTCTCAAGAAGCTATCATAGCCTTTAGCCAGTCTCTGTGGTCATGTTTCTCGTATATTTCGGTTTCTAAAGGTTCTACAAGTCTGCGGGAGTCTGCATATTTATTCAAGTCAACAAGATCCATAATTTAGGCTATGTTTAGTTCTCAAAGGCCGGCTGAGGCCCACTACGGCCTGTATTCTCGGCTGTCGAATTCGCCTTATCTCCTGTGGCGTCCATTGAGTCTTATTAAAGTCCTCTAGACTTCAACAGGGTTTTTACAGGCTTTTATTTGACCTTTAATTTAGTGTACATAGCCCCCTGTGGTTTTCACCAAATCTCA